AACTGCCTTAAAGAGCTTGTTGGGGCACCTGGGTGGCTCAGTCAGTTGAGCATCTGTTGGGTCATGATCCCAGGGTCCCAGGGTTGAGCCCCACATCGGGCTCCCTGCTCAGTGGGGAATCTGCTTCTCCCTCTCCGGCTGCAGCTTCCCCTGCTTATGCACACACACACTCTCTCTCTGTCAAATAAGTAAATAAAATATCTTTAAAAAAACAAAAAAAAAACAAGGTGCCTACGTGGCTCAGTTGGTCCGGAGTCTGCCTTCGGCTCCAGTGGTGATCTTAGGATCCTAGGATCAAGCCCTGCATCAGGATCCCCACTTCTCCTTCTGCCCCTCTCCCTGCTTGTGCGCTCTTGCTCTCGCTCTCTCTCTCCTCTCTCAAATAAAACCTTAAAAAAAAGTACAAAATATTTTTTTAAAGAGCTACTTGTAGCCTGTTATATTTATATGGAATTTATGATACATATACATGTATGCATAAATACAGAGGTGTATATCAACTTCTAGGTGCTAGTGATGTCCTGCTTCTTCGTCTAGATGGTTATAAAGATGCATTGGGTTTGCAACATTTCATCAATGTGTAAACTTACATGTGCATTTTAATATGCATGCTGTACTCCAATTGAAATTGTTAAAAAAGAAAAGGACAGCTCCTTTACAACCTGCACTGGCCATGCTACATCTGGACTATTATTGTAATGTATCAATATTTCATCTTAAGAAATAGGAAGAGGAGTTAGAAGTAGAGAGAAAAGGGTAAAGAGCAATATAGGGACTACTTAGCCTGAAAAAGAGAAGGCCCATGACTGGGGCAGAGTGGAGGTGGAGGGCGGTATTTGTCAGGTTTTTGTGCAATGGGATGAGAGATGGTGCCGTTTATTGAGGACTGCCACCAGCCTTGTCAGCCCTACTTGTGTGACCTTGAGAAACTAGTTCAGGTGCCATAAGCATAACAAGGTGTGTATATAATACATATTTAATTATACATTTTAATAGGGTTAATTGTTCCCTCACTCGTATTATTCTTTGGTGTTTTACGTATTTGTATGCATCATTTAAAACCTTTGTGGGAAAAAAAAACCTTTGTGAAATGGGTGGATATTTAACATATACACATTTGCCTGAAGCAAAAAGTTGCTTTGGTTTAGAAGTTACTTCTACACCAAACCAGTAATTTAGGACTTAATTTGCCTGTAAAAAATGTCCTAGACTAAAGCCTACTAATTAAAAGATTCATTGATTCAGATTCTATTTTTGGACAGAGATGTATTATTTTAAATTCTGATCCTAATAAGCAAAAATTCCTAGTCTTTGTTGAGATGATAAACCTTGACAAATTTGCCCATTCTTATGTGATCTCTAGAGTTGCATTAAATAATAAGCCAATCTATGTTGTCTCCTGATGGTCTACCACTGGGAAACCCTCTGATATTGTGGTGGCATTTCTACCCGAAGGATGGCTGAAAGCATTTCTACGTTGCCTGATTGACTTAGTAAATGTACTATTCTTAGAGATTAAGGTTAAGGATGTTGGGGTTGATCCCTACCAGCCCCCTTCCCAACTGCCCTCCTGAGTGCTCACTAGGTGGCAAATTCAAGAGCTGTGATGGGTAAGTTGCTTCCCTCCATGAGCCCTCAAAGTGGGGATAACAGTAATGCTTCCAGGTGTAAGCACTGAGCTGGGTTTTCTCTTTTTTTATAATGCAGTGCCTGACTTAAGTTTTGATTGCTCAGGTATCCACTTCAAAGAGGATTATCTGAATAAATACTTTGCCAGCCACACAACTAGATAGAGACAGGCCACCTTCTCCTAAGGAGGCTCCTTTGTGTTAGAGGTCTTGGTTGATTTCTGTAACTTATCATTTGGGCCATTTATTTTTTTCTCTTCCTATGCTTTTAAATTCCTTTTTTTAAAGATTTTATTTATTTATTCATGAGAGACACACAGAGAGAGAGGCAGAGACACAGGCAGAGGGAGAAGCAGGCTCCATGCAGGAAGCCCGACATAGGACTCGATCCCGGGTCTCCAGGATCAGGCCCTGGGCTGAAGGCGGCACTAAACCGCTGAGCCACCCGGGCTGCCCAAATTCTGTATGTTTTAAATTCACCAATAAAGAGTGAGCACAGGAGACCCTAGGTCCTCCCATCCTCAACTCCAGGTCCTTGCTCTCTCACTCTCCTCCCAGGCCCCTTGTTGTGTGGCTCCAGGTGTGCTGTGTAATTTCCAGGTCCTATAAGTAAGAAACCCTATTTTTTCAAAGTTTCTCAGTGGTTATTGCTGAAGGGCACCTGGCAATCACAGTAAGAACCACAAGGGCTGGTCCAACCGTAACATTGGTTATTGACAGTCTTGAACTGGCACAAAACAGGTCTCATGGGGTTTTTGAGAGGATTAAATAACCCAATAATGTACAACTCTAGGAAAAATGCCACCCTGGGTACCTAAGTGTTCAAAATTTGCTAGTTCCAAAAGGCCCCTCCCCGTGCACAGGGAAGCATCTAGTTTTAGTCTCCCCAGGAAGGATGGCAGCAAGCCTCATACTGAAGGTGCACATCTCATAGAGAAGGAACAAGCCCAGTTTGGCACCCAGAAGCAGAGAAACAATGGCCAACAGGGGAACCTCCACAGGGATTGGACAGTTTAGCTGAGTCCTGCATGCTCAGCACGGTGCCTGGTGGGCACCAGGGCGCTGGAGTGTTGGCGGCCAGCAGCTACAAAGAGGAAGGGGAACAGCCGGTATATGCCTGGACTCTTTCTTAAAACCATAGAGACTCCCATTCTATTTACTGACAGAAGTGTGGTGATACTATAACTCTGAAGACAGGAATAGTACCATCCAATAGAACTTTCTGTGATGATGGCAATGTTCTGCATCTTTCCTTTCCATTATGGTAGCCATCAGCCACATGTGGCTACTGAGCACTTGAAATGGAGGTAGGACTTGAGAAACAAGCATTTACTTTTAATTTTTAAAAAAGTAATCTCTACATCCAACATGGGGCTAGAAGTCATGATTCTGACACTAAGAGTCACATGTTCTGACTGAGCCATCCCGGCACCCCTGATTTTATTTTAGTTAATGTAAATTCAAGCAGTGTGGACTGAGAGGTGACTGCAACGATGGCTAGACATGAATCTATGTGGGGTACTCTGAGAGGTAAATTATGCTGGATGTGGACATCCTGGGTGGCTCAGCGGTTTAGCACCGCCTTCGGCCCAGGGCATCATCCTGGAGACCTGGGATTGAGTCCCATGTCGGGCTCCCTGCATAGACCCTGCTTCTCCCTCTGCCGGTCTCTGCCTCTCGATGTGATGATGAACCAGGTGGTGATTGGGAAACCAGGGAAGAGCCAGTGTAGGCCCAAGGAGGACACCTGGATTTCTGGCTGGGCCACTGGATAGTAGGGTGCCATTTATGAAATGGGGAAGGGTAGGAAAGGGACAGACTTCCAGGCAAGGAACTAGCTCTATTAAGGATGTTTAAGCTATGTTCACAAATTCAGCCAAATCTGGTCTGGGCCAGTGTTAATATCTGGCCCGATCCACAAAAATCTCCTTTCCTTATTTCTAAATTACCAAAAGATATCAGAAAAGTTCCACATACAATCCCTACTTTATGAAGTTTTATCTGGAAGATCTTTTGTAAGTCTTTGGAAAGTCTGCATATTTTAATTCTCTGGAGCAATTTTACAAATAGAGCTCACCTACACAGACAAGACTGTAAACATTAAGTTCATAATAATTACCACCAGAGAATATCATTTGGAATATCATTTGGAAACATTTCTGTGGAAAAAAACCTTAAAGTCTCTCTAGGCTGTGCTATGCCATATAAAAGCCATCAGGTACATGTGGTTATCTAAATTAATTAAAACTGAATTACACTCAATTCCTCAGTCATACTGGCTCTTTCAAGTGCTCAGTGGCCATTATGTGGCTGGTGGCTACCATACTGGACAAGGCAAATACAGAACATTCCTACCATTGCAGAAAGTTTTATTAGACAGCAGGTTAAGAAAAATCCTCAGTGAATCCCTGATACAAATGCGGCCCCTGGTACAAAGGTGGTGCGAGACTGGCTCAGTCAAAGGAACATGTGACTCTCGATCTTGGGGCTGTGAGTTCAAGCACCACATTGGATATAAAGATTACTTAAAGAAGTAAACTTAAAAAAAAAAAAAGAGGAGGAGGAGGAGGAGTATGGCTAGAACATATGGATGAGGGGAGTAGTAAGAGGTGAGGCTGGAGAACACAGAGAGGCCACATGATATGGGCTATGGGAGCAGACTGGGTTTCATCTGAGGGCAAGGAGAGGCTGGAAGGGATTTAAGCGCAGCTGCAAGAAGACAAGCCAGAGACTACAGAAGTGGTTCAGCAAGAGAATCTGGAAAGGCAGTAAAGCAGCCAAGGAAGAAGGGAGAGATGGGGGACAGAGTTTTGCAGGAGGGAGAGAAGAGTTGCCTTGCCAATGGATTGGTTGGCCCTCCAGGAAAAGAGCTGGATTCCTGGAGACCCTTCTGGACTAATCCATGATCCCCTCTAACACGTTTCAAATTCTCTAGTGGATAAAGGGATTCTAAGAACAAGTAGGAGGCAAATGAGTTATCTGATGGCCCTCTGTTGGTAATAGCTGTAGGATGAGAGAACCAACGTGCATGCACATAGTTGGACCCACCTGCTTACATTTGACCAAGGTGGAGATGCACCGCAAACTCGGAGTTTCCAGTTGTTCTTCATGGAGCTGGAGGGCAAGGAGGCTGAGGATGCCACCCACCTATCAGGAGGGCCTTAACTGTATGCCATAAAATAAAAGGGTAACAGTAGCTAACAAAGAAAAAAACCAAACACAGATAAAAACAAAACAAAACAAAACATGGTGGTCTTATTTCCTCAGAATGATCAAAAGGTTTTGATAGGAAATTTTAAAGATAAAAGCAAACCAAATTCTATTTTTTTAAAAAAGATTTTATTTACTTATTCATGAGAGAAACAGAGAGAGAGAGAGAGAGAGAGAGAGAGAGAGAGAGAGAGAGGCAGAGACACAGGCAGAGGGAGAAGCAGGCTCCATACAAGAAGCCCGATGTGGGACTTGATCCTGGAACTCCAGATTCATGCCCTGAGCCAAAGGCAGATGCTCAACCCCTAACCCACCCAGGTGTCCCCTTTTGTTTTACAAAAGAAATTTATGTTTTTGAAAACAGCTTTAAGCAGAGAATAACTTGTACAAGGGAACTCTGAGTTTTAGGTGCAATTTTTCAATTTAATTGAAGAGGTGATAAGAGGACTTTAAATATCATGATATAAAAATGCATTCCATATCTTGTGATAAGAGCCCTGAAAGATGGGAATGGGAGCACCAGTAGTTAGTACCTTCTTGGCCACCAAACAGAATTTCATGTAGTATTTTGTTCAGACCACAGTCAACTTGGCCTGAGTATTTTGGGACTCAAGGCAGAAGATGGAATGTTTTCTCAAAACATCTTGAAGTCACAGAATTTAGCATGTCGGTACTTCTGATGATGTGATAATCACTGTATCTGAATGAGGAGAAACTGGGCTATCTAAATAAAAATTGAAATGTAGGAATTTGGAGTTGATAAACCAAATTTCAAGAAAAATACGTTCTAATTCTGGGGTTTAGACATATTGTCATATTTTAGAAAAGTCAGCAGGTGTCTGAGTGGCTCAGCCAGTTTAAGTGTCTGACTCTTGGTGTCGGCCTAGGTCGTGATCTGATGGGTCGTGAGATCCCTCCTGTCATGCATGGGGCTCTGCACTCAGCAGGGGATCTGCTTGAAGGTTCTCTCCTCTGTCTCTCACCCCACTCATGCATGTGTACTCTCTCTAAAATACATAAATAAACCTTACAAAAAAAAGAACAACAACAACAACAAAAGAAGGATAGCAGGTGCCTGGGTAGCTCCGTTGGTTAAGCATCTGCCTTCAGCCCAGGGCATGATCTCAGAGTCCTGGGACTGAATCCATCATCAGACTTCCTGCTCAGCGGGGAGTCTGCTTCTCCCTCTCACTCTGTCCCTCCCCATTGCTTGTCTTTCTCTTTAATAAATAAGTAACATCTTTAAAAAAAAAAAAAAAAAAAAAAAAAACGAGGGCAATTGCCATATTGATTTGCAATCCTGCACAGCATCTCTGGATACAGCTCTTTTGTGGTTTCAAAAGTCTTCAGGTAGACCAGTTTAGTCAAAAGCAGAAAGGGGAGAGCACAAAGAAATGTAACAGATACACAGAGATTTAGCACGGTGCCATGTTATGTATTCTTCCCGTCTTGAGCCCAAAAATTGAATCTTTGGTCCTGGAGACCACAGTGGGGCAGGGCAGGTCCTGGGCTCAAACAGGACTGGCTGGAATCAGCACCAGGGCATTAACAGCGCGGTGTCTTTAGAGAATCAATGCCCTCTCAGATCTCAACTCTTTTCATTTCACCTGTAAAATGAAAACAGACCCTTGTCCTTGGTGAGCACAATACTAGTCTCAGGAGAAAACTGAGCTGTGGGTCTGAAATCTGTTCATAAGATGGGGGTGTGCCTGACAACTGGGATCATTATTCCCTTTCCTCCTATGAGACAAGAACAGGAGCCACACTTGGTGGCTATTGTGAAGCACATGCCAGTACTTGGATGGGCAGGTGTCCAAAGGGCAGGTCATCTTGATCAAAAGGCCATGTTCTAACAGATAACCGCTCACATCCAGTGTTGTAAAACTCCCCACGAGCACCAACGCCCTGAGGCACAGATGTGTTATTCTAATGTGAGATTTCAAGACAAAAACTAAACAGCAGAAAGCAGTGAATAGTTTAATTCTTTAACAAAAACTGAAGAAAAATGAAAATGATTTGGAAACGGCAACAATATGGGGCACCTGGCTGGCTCAGTCAGAAGAGCATGTGACTCTTGATCTCAGGGGTCATGAGTTTGAGCCCCATGTTGGGTGTAGAGATTACTTGAATAAATAAAATTTTAAAAAAAGGAAATGCTAACAATTTAATGAACCCATTTACTCACTGTCATTTACCCTGTCTTGGGGAAAAAATAATAATTTTCTGAATGTTCTTACACCTGAAAGTAAACTAGTTCACAAAATAAAAACATACATAATCCAGTGTCAAAAACTGGTGATTTATAGAAATCACCCCTCGTTTATTTTTTCCAACACAGAGAAAAAAAAAAAAAAAACATTGTTCAATAATTCAATGTTTGGGTCACTGGCAAATACTGTCTGCATCATTCAAAACAAATGTTCCTGGCGGTGAGCTCTGTGGCGCGTGATGACAGCCGACGAATCTTCCATCGTTCAAATACAACAAAAAACCCACTCGTGAAGATTATGTGAATGAGAAACACAATGCCCTATCACAATGTGCATAAAAAGGTCTTTGAAAAATATCCAAACCTTTCAAGGGATGGAAACACTTCTGTTTTGTTGTTGGTTTTGTCCCTTTTAATGATTAATTTTTGGTTTTTGAAGTCAGCATTTTTGCTGTGAGGAAGGAGCTGTAGGGCTTTGTAAGTGGAAACCAACAAGGCCACTGGTTACTACACACTTTCCTACCCCAACTTAGAACTTTTTCCCCCAAAAAACCCTCTTTCATGATTCTTGTTATGGTTCAAAAAAGTAAAGAAAATGATTTCAAGTATTCAATTCCTATCAAAAATTGGTATCAAAAGTAATAAAGGACCTAGTTTTTTTATAATTCCATGTTTTAAAAAATAACTTAAGAAGCAAGAGGTCCGGCCCTTTACTTATATAAATACCACAGTGTAACTAGAGTTTCTTAAGACAACGTGGAGAGGAGTCAGTGTTTAGCACCTCAATCATTGATCTTAATGTTGGGAACGTCTCTGACACAGATGGGAGCATCTTATAGGAAGGTGAAATACTGGAAAAGAAAAACACAAAGAAGGAACATGAAAATTAACACAATTTTATGAAAAAGGCATTATTCCTATTTTAATAGTCTCTGTTTCCAAGGACCCCATATGTATGTTGTGAGACAATTTTACAAAGGCAGCGAGGAGCTGTGAACAGAACAAATGCTTCTGTGGCAGGGTACTTGATGTCTGGAGGATCACATAAGGAGCTGCTGGCTAGTTCAGCCAGAGTCTTCAGAAAGGAAAATTAAACTCTGTGGTCCACATGACAATATGCACATATGTCCTATTGGGGTGCACACTAGACCTGAATCAGAGACACAGGGTCCAGGCCAGCCTTGCTGCTTATGGGCTATGGTCCTTTCTCTGACCTCACTACCAGGGACAGTCTTCTTCCCTCACAGAGAGACCCTGAGCACAGAAAGAGATCATGTATGCTAGAGGGCCGTGCGACGTGACACCTGGATAATGGGAGGCAGTTTTTTATTCATTCCTCATGGAACTGTTGAAAGGTTCACACTGCAAAACTATGGAAGAGACAGAAGCAAGCTGTCTGACCTAGTGGCCCTATTACTAACACATGCATGAGCCAGTAATCCTGAAGTGAGAATATACTGGGATGCGGTGTTATGGTTAGAAGTGATCATTACAAAGCTGATACACACCTGCACATTGCAAGAGTGCACTTGCACTCAGACTTCCTCTGATTTAAAAAGAGCACAAATGACCCAGCAATTTGTAGGGTGGCTGCTGTGTCCAATAAATGGGAAAGGCAAAATTGGATGGGGTCATGATAGGTAAAACACAGAGGAGGAGCAAGAATACAGAAGGCCAGTGACATCTGCTTGTTTTTTGTTAACTGTTAAAGCATCTACAGGTTTAATTTCACCCAAATTTCCTAGAGACACGAGCCAGGAAAGAGCAGAGTGTGCTAGACTTCTGAGGGTAGTTGCTGGGGATGATGTCTACTTAGTGTTTACGCACTCACACGTGTTCCTCGCCTACATCACAATGAAGTGCCACCATCTCAAAATCTACTGAGCAGTAAAAATGCGCTCCCACTCAGAGTAAGTCTAAAATGGGTCCAGCTTACAGTTTTCAAATTCTTTCCTGAATACTGAGCCTACGAGTTGGGAAAGAGTAAATTAACCAAGAGAGATGAATATATGATTATACAAATAAGACCTGTGTAACTTTTCTTCCACAAACCAATTTCCTTGCTTTTTATTTGTTCTTAATTTTTAATCTGTAGATTCAGGCTTTCAAGGGTCTTGCACAATAGCAGAACATCTTAGCCTTGGAAAACTGGATTACATTCCTTGGAGAGTAAGAGCTCACGAAAGGCGGTGTAGTCCCAGTACCACACAGTTCCAAAAGAAGCACGAAGCCCCCCACATACCTCCTTCATCCTTTTATTGATCGTCACCAAGTAGTTACCTTTTTAGGTTCATCCAGCTTTTGGCTATTTTGCTAAAGGCCTCTGAACCAGGGGCTGTCATAGCTTCAAAGTCAACTAACTGAAAAAGAAAGAGATTTAGGGATGTAATTAACATGGGGGAGAGAGAGGCACACTTTGAAATCTGTTTAACTTCTGCATCTTAACACAACAATCTGAGGGCTGGGATTTAAGCACATAGCCAACCATCTGCCTTACCAGCTTCAACATACCTTCCCTTTGGGGATCTTTCCTGCTACTTCTTTTCCGCTTGCCATCAATGCTCCCACGATCACGGAGTAAGCTATTACACTATGTAAATAAAGAACAGTTACCAGTCAGTCCTGGTCTATGAACATGGATCAAGTGAAAAGCTCACTATGTTCTAACATAAAAGATGAAATTTTCATCTTTTAAGGACTCTTTAGAAATCAAGCTAAAAAATATTTTCATGTCTTAAAAATATTTACTATTTACTACTAATAAATATGTTAATAGATTCACTATTTTAAGAGTAAATGTGATCCAGAATATACTCTTTTTCTGAGGAAAAAAAGGTGTTTCTTTTAATTAGGAGTTCTTCCTACTTGGTTTTTCTCTTCGTATGAAATAATGAATTGGAAGATGTGTCTGCTTCTATTCCAGCAACTTCAAGAGGCTTGGCTTTCAAAATGCATCCATACAATATACTATGTAACACATATTTATCTTGCTGTTTAAGCATTAAAAACTTTGGCTCCCAGGCAGCCCGGTGGCTCAGCGGTTTAGCACCGCCTTCAGCCCAGGGCGTGATCCTGGAGTCCCGGGATTGAGTCCCACGTCAGGCTCCCTGCATGGAGCCTGCTTCTACCCTCTGCCTATGCCTCTGCCTCTCTCTGTGTGTCTGTCATGAATAAATAAATAAAATCTTTAAAACAAAAACTTTGGCTCCCCAAAAAGAAAAGCAGAACACATTCTCAGAAGGTGCTAACAGACTGATCCGAAAATTAAAGATACATAAGTTTCCTTCCTGGCATATAACAGACTCTCTCTTGGCTTCTGACATAACTCTTACACACCGGCTGCGTGTGACCCTGGGCAAGGCACCCTGGGTGTAGATAGCAAAGAAAGCCTCCAGGTGCAGCGAGTCAAGCCCAGGAGTCGCCCTTGGAGAAGACACCGCAGAGGCCAAGGTGGGAGGGGAGTGGGGGTGGGGGTGATGCACACTGCATCTTCAGGGCCCTAGGGCAGGGTCCAGGGAGGCAGAGGGGAAGGCAGGGAGATGGTTGGCATGGAAGGAGAGCCCATGTGGACACGAAGGTATGAGGAAAGGCACAGAGGTGCCCTGGAGGGGTGGGGGGTGGGTGGATTTTGAGAAGTTCCACAGGGTAGTAAAAGGGCAGATAAAGGAGGGTGGTAGAGCACCTGGGTGGCTTAGTTGGTTAAGCATCTGCCTTTGGCTCAGGTTGTGATCCCAGGGTCCTGGGATCGAGTCCCACATTGGACTCCCTGCAGGAGCCTGCTTCTCCCTCTGCCTATGTCTCTGCCTCTCTCTCTGCGTCTCTCATGAATAAATAAATAAATTTTTTTTTTTTTTTTTTTAAAAAGGAGGGTGGTGATGAAGCCAAGACAAACCAGGACAGGACATGGATGGGCACTGTGCCTGGGGCCACTAGGCTTGCACCTGAGCCAGCATGTATAAAGAACCAGGGCAGATGCTGATGCTGAACCTCTATAGTGTACACCTGAAGTCAATATAACACTGTATATTAACTATACTGGAATTAAAAAAAGAACTGAGGCAGAGAGGAGAAGAAGAAAATCCTGGAAGCATGAAGACAAGTCACAAAGGCACGGGGTGATGAGGGTCTGAGATATGGCGGTAGCTGTGAGCACGAGAGAGGCAGAACCAACAGGATCAGAGACTGGACAGATGCAGGCTGTGAGGGAAAGAGGGCAGGTGATGAGAGCTATACTTTCCATGTCACCTCCTTCCTATGTCGCCAGGAGCCAGCAGGGCTGCCGCCAGGACGAATGGACCACTGCTGGGTATCTGCAGAGCGCCTGCGCCAGTGCTTGATACAGGAAGCAGGCGGAGGATGTAGGTACAGCATATATTCAGCGCACACGCTAGTAACAGTTATGCTGGTATTACAATATCTATGCTCCTAGCTTGTATCCATGCGTTTTTGATAGAGTAAAATTTATTATCACATTTAGAAGAGTTTTAAAATGTTAAAGATAAGAACATTCAAGTATATTATTTTAGCCCAAATATCTTAAATTCAAGTATGTGCCAGCAACAGCGTATGCTGCTTCCATGATCTACTGCACATCATCCTGGGTAACAGAGAAGAGACAGAAACCCAGGTTTTAATGATACCTAAGAAGCTCCTTCCTGATGGATTTGTAAGTAGCAAGAATTGACTCACAATAGTAAAGATAGTACAGAATGGCTGGTGCGTAGAGGTCAAGTGATGGACAAAAAATTGGGGGAAAGAGGAGTAGAGGGGAGGGAAATATTAGAACCTAAAATATAGTGAGTGCAGTGCATGCACACGCACATAGTAGGCCCTCAAGACATCTGTGCTGAATGAATGAATCCCCAGCCTGTAAAGTGTAAGCACACTATCTTAGAACAATCTTTCATAATTCTTTTCATGGTGTGGTAGGTCAAGGACATCATATCTGGGGAGATTTTGAAAAAAACAAAAAAAACAAAAGAAGTTTCTTGCGATTACTTGTACTCACAGCCACAACAAGCAGTGCAAGCAAAAGAGAACATATTTTTCAATGTAAAAACTTTCAAATTATAGGCTATCACTCACCTGGATCCTCGAGAGAGTGGCATTAAATTATAAAAGTAATAAACTAAGGATAAGATTAAATTGCAAACAGCATCAGCCTCCTAGAAAAAAAAAACATGCTCGTGAGTTTAAATACTAGGTTATAAACTGTTTTTTAATGAGGTGACAAGACATAAGAATCATTCACCTCAGGAAGAGGATTATTTCATGTGTCTCCTACGGAAGCTACTTTCACATTCTTGGATATTTCATACTCCATGCTACCATTTTTTCCTAATGAAAGGGTATATATACAGTTTGGTTTAGAGCAATAGTTTCTAAGCTGTTTTAAAACTGAAACCTTTTCAGGGGTACCCGGGTGGCTCAGTTGGCTAAGTGACTGACTCTTGGCTTCAGCTCAGGTCGTGATCTCGGGGTCATGGGATGGAGGCCCGTGTTGGGCTCCATGCTCAGTGGGGAGTCTGCTGGGGATTCTCTCTCTGCTCCTCCTCCCCCCTCTTGCTCTCAAATAAATAAATGTATCTTTATACTTTTTAGTACCTAATATGGTTTCCCAAGATTCTGATAAGCACACCCTGTGCACTGAGATTTAGGTGATAGATATACTTAATTATGTAAAAACCTGGATGTTTAATTATAGGTTCAGAACTGATTAGACGCAAGAGAAAGGAAATGACTTCCCAGGGGCCTTGGGCATCCACTCCAGAATGCGGATGGAATGCCCACAATACTCCCAAGCACAGTGGCAGCTGCTGCCACAAAGGTGACAGGCCAGGTCCTGCCCCCAAGGAACCCCCTCGAGTTGGGGTGGGACATGGAGGGAAGAGTCACAGGCAGCAAAGGCCCACTAAGTGTCACACAGGCCTCTGTCACGATGGACCAATATTTTCACTTCAATCCTGACAGAGCCCAGACTTAATCATACGACACAGTCACTATGTACATGTGTCATTTCCCTTCCTCAAATACTATCATTATTAAACACAGGTAGTGTTTCTACAAGACTTTTAAAAAGAACTACTTGTAGGTCATCAGTGAAAGCCAATCTCAAGCATAAGATGTGTAATACCCGTGAATGGGTAGGGGGTTTTGAAAAGGTTGCAGGAGAATCCTGCATAGGAAGCACAGATAAAATGGAAAAAAACAAAAACCTACCCCAAATTCTGATGAAAGAATCAGTACTTTTCCTTTCGCTGTGAGGTCTTTATAAAGTGCGTCTATCTCAGCATGATAGAACTGTGTTCTTTCTTCTGTGGTTTGCGTTTCCACAGAGAACAGTATGTTGCCAATCCTAAAAATACAGCAATGTGTGTCAAAGGCACATAATATACAATTCCAAAAGCCAGACATGGAGAGTAAAGAAAAAAAAGAAAGGCACTGGTATGCTGATGTGGCACAAGATATACACCTAAGAACATGTCCTACCTTACTATAACTACAGATTGAGGCGTGTTCTGTAAGTAGGCAAGAGTTTCATAAAATACGATATTTTGTTTGGTCTAACCATATGTATGTATTATAGGAGTTCAAGCTTCTACAGAAAGAAAACTACACGCAGTCAACAATGAATGCATAGTAAATACTTTCTAGATAACCACCCTATTATGTTTGAAGATCAGGAGCCAGAACCATGAGCAGAGAAAGGTCAGGGACTCCACTGTGTTTTTTTAAGCTTCTGCTGCACCCTAGCTCCATGCCAGGCTCTACGGAGACAAATTTGATGCAACAGGCATTTATTATAGAAATAAATAGTTCTTAGATCCCATGAAGAAGTATTTGCATTGTATTCCATTTTATGGATATTGTAGAGGTTCTCCTACTAATTGTTTGTTATTGACCATTTAGAGTATTTCCCACAGCAGTTACTGAGGGAGGGATAATTGAAGCTATGAATTATTATAAGACCATTAGCAGGGCGATCACACAGCTCGTCAACGTTCACCAGAAGGAGATCAGGTCTAATGTGGAAGACATGGAAGACAACAGGAAATGCATTTCACAGGGGAAAGGGCCTGATATGAAAATTGGGGTGGGAGTGAGAGAGACTAAGAAACAGGAGGTGGGAGGTGATCTTGGGGGAACAGGCAACCCAGCTGAATTAACAGGCCAAACTCTGGCAGGAAAACAGTTTGGGAAAGCAGGAAATGTTGCAGGAGGCCATATTACCAAAGGCCTTGAGGGCCTGGCAGGGGAGCTGATCCTGGTATCCACTGGCAATAGAGGGTATGGACTGGGGAGTTTAACACCCAGTGGAACGGAGTCTCTGGGACACTGACAAAACACTGGTAAGCCATCAGGCAACTGCGGATGGAGACATGAGGAGTTAGAGCTCAGAGCTAGAGGTGATGGATACAGTGGGACCGTGGAGGAAAGAAGCCATGTTTCAGGGGAAGGAACTTTCTGTACTCTCTCACACAGCCATCCCCTTTCTGCCTGGAGATTTCATCTGAGGAGCTCTAGATCTCATGAGCAGGTCAAAAGTCACCAGATCTGGAAGCTGCTACGCTGGTGCCTATTCAGGGAGGTCGGTGTAGGTTTTCACAGAGAACTTGACAAAGAGACTCCTGTGGCTTGAGACTAAAAGTACCTGAGAAAGCTGGAGCCCAGAAGGCAGAGCCGTTGGGGAAGGGCAAGTCATAGCCTACGATGGGGCTGGCAGAAATCAAGCTGGAGGTCCCACTGCAGAAATCATGATGCCCTGCAGGCCAAGCAACTGAGGATCATGTGCGGTGGGGAGGGCTCCACGTGGGGGAGGTGCAAGGTAACCCACCCCAAATTCAAGGGATACGGAGGCTCCTACATGAAGCCTGGGGTTCATATAGGAATTAGACTGGGTAATAAAAACAGTCACTGTGGGGCTATTTATAAAGTGAAAAGTGGAAATACTCTAAATGATCAATAACAAACAATTAGTAGGAGAACCTCTACAACATCCACAAAATGGAATACTATGCAATCACCACAAATGCTTACAAAAATAGGAGAAAATGTTCATGGTGAAGTAATGGTAAGATACAAAAGAAACAGGTTACAAAACAAGATGTGGAGCATAATCTTAGTTTTTAAAGAAAGCAACTTAATGATTTTTTTAAATCTTTGCTTGTGTATTCTAAATTGTTCATAATAAAAGGCTGCACTACTCTCATATTAAAACTTGTATTTAAAAACTCTTACAATGGCCTTCAATCTGCTAATCTCTCATCTTTTTTCATTTTATCACTAAAGTGTCACTCACAAGGAACTTTAAGAACAGAAGAACGCTTTTCACATTAGATACTATACTTAATATCTAGAAAGCTGTTAGATCCAGCTTGGTCAGAACATGTATTTGCTGGCATAATATTCTAAAAGTCACATGAACAAAATAACTGGTTATAGCTTCACACTAGACCTTGATAATTTTCATCTCAGGATAAAACAAAACCCGGGTAGGTCTCATCTCCCGTGGCAACATCAGGCACACGGACACTTTGTGACACCAGCCTGCCTTTACGCCCACACTTAGGAAGCATACATACTTGTCTCCTGTAATTGTGATTGTGAATCCATCGTATTCCTTCCCTTGATCTTTGAGGCTGGGAACTTTTGTGTTCACCGTGAACCCATCCTTCGTTTTAGTATTAAACTGCTTTCAGGGAAAAAAAAATTCACATTACTAGTGTGTAATTCACTGTAAACCCCCAAACGCTCTTCTGTAGTGCTGACTCTGCCTTCCATGTTTTTAGAAAGGGTCACAGAAGTTCCTGATGCAAAAGGCCATGACCAGGCACACCTCCCTCTCCAGTGACGGGGGATGCCTCTGCCTGTCCCCAAGGCCCCACACTCAGCAGGACCACTGCTCACTCCTAAGAGTACCCTTTGGGTTTTTTTCCTGTTCATCTTAATTGGCAGCACCTCGGATTCTTGGCAGAATGGCTGTACTCCAAATCCTGTAACTTAAAAAACACCTTGTGCTCACGCTCATGCTCCTTCAAGGCAGTCTGATTTGTTCTGAAAAGTACTCAGAATTGTATTTGTCAACTGAAGAATTTCAAACATACACATACATCCACCAACTCTGCAGACCACAGAAAAGTCTGTTAAAGGAATTACATAAAGCCAAGGAATGGCCTTCGGGGTGATAAGTATGAAGGCAGTTTCAAATGCCAGCTTATTAAAATATTTTTGACAAAACCAAAATGTCAATAAATAGATTTTGTCATTACTCCAGAAAAAAATCCTCTTCAGATTCAGTTATTTAGTGTTGCCAATCTTTTTTTTTTTTTTAAAGGACTGATAGACTTGAATAAGAGAACCAAGGATAAAACAGGAGGCTGTGTGTCACATAAGCCACTATGGGGGGGGGGGGGCAGGCTGTCTAAAACCAGTAAGACCCAGCAGGTAGTCACAAACGATCCAGAGAAGGACCGGGAATGAGTGGGAATGAGTGGACATGAGACACAGGTGATTACAGTCAGCATCAGGAATTGGAACAGGAATATCTTTCATGAAGAAAGGGCTTTTAGAGGAAGACATGTGTTACAGCTCATCTGATGCTCACACATACCAGGAAGAGAGGGCATAGTCTCCATCCTACAGGTGAGGGGCCCAGCCGGGAGGGGAGGTCCTGGCCCAAGTTACTGAGCAGGGACTGGCGGCATGGGAATGTGAACCCAGGCCGTCATGACCTCCAGTCATGTTATTTGCTAATAAGCTGCCTCAAGGGGAGCTGAGGTATACAGTGTATATAGTTGACCTTGAACAACATAAGGGGTAGCAAACCCCCCCATCACAGTCAAAAATCCGTGTATAACTTTGGACTCCCCAAAAACTCAACTGCTAAGCCTGCTGCTGACTAGGCTTACTGACATAAAAGGTTGAATACATATTTTGTACACCTGTATTCTTACAATAAAGTAAGTTAGAGAAAAGAAAAGGTTAAGAAATCACAAGGAAGATACATTTACAGGACTGTACTGTATTTATTGAGAAGAATCCACATACACGTGGACCCACACAGTTCAAATTCATGTTGTCCAAGGGTCAGCTGTATTTTAACTTGGCTTTTCACCAAAAGTGTATTTCAGAGGAAGCTGTCAAGGCATCGCATTGCACCAAACACTTTAAAACCAAAGGTATTAAAAAAAAAAAAAAAAAAAAAAAAAAAAAAAACCAAAGGTATTTATATACTTCTCTGCATGCCTTTTAAAAATACAAATATGCCCATAACCCCAGGTGAAAGCTAGGTGTCTAGTGCTGCAGAGGAGCGGGCATGTTCACCCCACAGTGGGACAGAAAGTGACTTCACCCCAGGAGGTTGGCCCCAGGTGGGCGATGCTTGGCGTCTCTGCTGCACTCCCAGCAACACAGGCTTGGAGTTCACTATGCTTTTCTTTTAAAACAAAGACATCCATAAAACCTTAAAAACCCCCTACGCTGATTTGGCCTTCTACCGAACAGATTAAATGTAATGCCCAAAATACCAATAAGAAAGAGAAACATTAAAAACTGAGATGTGGGCAAGTGTTCTTTCTGGACGGTCTGTCCAATGGTCCACAGTGGAGCGGTCTGCCCTCTATGGGGCATCTGGGGAATTTGTGGGAGAGTCTGGTGGCTACAGCAAGGGGGGTTCCGCAGAGAACACTAGATGTCCCATCGTGCAGGGGACAGCCACACATCATGCGCGATTGACTTCCAATGCCCCCCTGGACTTCCATGTCGATGAAGAACCTGTTTATAATGTAATAATTACCTGGGCCAGATTCCATTTCACACTTGGACACTAAATATTTTAAGAGCTGGTTTTTTTTTTAAATTTTTTCTTTATTTAAGTAATCTCTACACCCAACATAGGGCTTGAACTACATAGTTTTAATACACACTGAATTTTCCATGAAGGCAAATAGCATGTCCAACTGAGGATAGAGGGCATTTGGCATTGTGTGGAAGTTTACTGTTTCAAAAACCCCTTCTGCCACCAACACTGTGGCTCACGATACCCGAGTCAGCAAATAACGCACAGATGTGGGGCTGCATTTGTAGCTGTCAGGTTCAACACAACTTTATGAGCAGGTGTAAACAACCAGCTACTTTATTATGGCTTCTTGTGAAGACATGCCTGAATGCTGACATCCTGAACAACACACTGGTCTACCTATCAGACCTCCTTTATAGCATGATGATGATGTTTTATTTAAAAAATTTTTTTTAAAGATTTTATTTATTTACTCACAGAGACACACACACACAGAGGCAGAGATACAGGCAGAGGGAGAAGCAGGCTCCATGCAGGGAACCCGACGTGGGACTCAATCCCGGATCTCCAGGATCACGCCCAACCAAAGGCAGCGCTACACCCCCGAGCCACCTGGGCTGCCCGATTGTGATGTTTTAAATAATTTGAGTAGGTAAGATATAGTCTCTGTTAATTTCATTTGAGTGCACCAGGAAAGGGGCATCTGAACACGGTTACTGAGTTAATATCAGAGTGGTTTGGAGGAGGAAGCTGAGAACTACGCCATCAGTTCATCAGACACTCCGATAACCCCAAGGTGAGGTCTGGCCAGAATCACTGCTCCTAGCAGACAGGAGCCTGGAATCTTGACCAGGTAAGAACTCACTCAAGTCCAGTGAGGCAGAAGTGGACTCTGGCGTACAGAGTACTAGCTCACTGCTTTGTTCATGACATGATGTTTCTTGGTTATTCCTTAGAAATGGATAGGCTCTGGTCCTACCAACTTTTTAAATTTTACTTGATATAAATCAAACCTCTCTACTATAGCTACAAGGAGAACACTGATTCAAGTTTTACGTTAAAGTTCAAACCATTAAGTGGAAAAAATAAAATCCACCTGCTGTTGGCAAATCTTTGAGTAGTTATATTCCTGGGTAGAGAAAATGTTCATAAAATTAAAACTTAATGGATTACACTTTTAAACAATGTAATTTCTGTTCCCCTAAATCTCCTTGATCTTGAATTATACTGTTTTTGATATTAACATTGCCACACGCACATTTCCTTCCATTAGCATTTGCTTGGTATACTTTTTCTCCCTCCACTTTTTAAATGTTATCTTGTTAGGCATTGTCTCCTGTAAACAGCACGTAGCTGGACTTTAAAACACCAATCTGAAATCCTCCATCCTTCACTACGGGATCAATCATAATGCCACACTGACTTGTCACTGCCATTATGTGCATTTCTTACCCGCCCTCCTCTTTTTTCCTTCTTTTTGAGTTAAACTGGCTTTGTTGTCTTTATGCCTTTCCTTCCATTCTAGGAATTTAGAAGATTATACGTCTTATCTCTGTTCTTGCAGTGTTTGCCTTCAAATTTTTAATATAGATATTTAAACGTGTCTTTTCAATATCATGGGTTAGTCAGTGATTGTATTCTCTCACGGAAAAAACAAATACCTTAGTAACAGTTTTACTTCTTTTCTCTACTTTCTTCAATTTCTAATGTTGATATTTTCTAGTACTTTAATTGCAGATATCTATGTTTTTTTAACGACAGGAATTCATTTCATTGGCTTATTTGTTCACCACGATTTCTTATATCTCTTGTTTGCTTCTTTCTTGGGCTTATTTTGTGAAAGTACATATGTCCTTTAATCATTTTGACAGAAAATCTAGGCTTGATGAAATTCCTAAATGACTGTTTGAAACTGTTTTTATTTGACCCTCACACCTGAACACTGGAACAGTGGGTTCAAATAAATTTCCCTTCATTGTCTTCTAGAATCCATTATTGCTGGAGGGAAGTTGGACATCCATAGAATTCTCCTTGCTTAGTACTCTTTTCTGGAAGCTTGAAGATGTTTTTATTTTTGTGTGTATTAAAATATACATAACATAAATTTGCCACTTTAACCATTTGGGAATGGCATTAAGTACATTCACATTGTTTGCAACCATCACCACCATTCATACACAGAACTTCCCAAATAGAATCTTCGCCCCCCATTAAACACCAACTCCCCATTTTCTCTCCTGCCAACCCCTGGCAGCCACCATTCTACCTTTTGTCTCTATGAATTTTACTCTCTAGATACCTCATGAGTGGAATCATAGGGTTTTGTCCTTTTGCAACTGGCTTATTTTATGCGATATAATGTCCTCAAGCTTCATCCACATTATAGCATGTATCACAATTTCCTTCCTTCTCAAGACTGAATATTCCATTGTACAGCTAGAACACATATTATTTACTCATTCATCCATTAATGGACACTTGAGTTGCTTCCACCTCTTGGCTACTATGAACAATGCTGCCATGAACATGGGTGTACAAATAATCTTTTCAAGTCACTGCTTTCAATCCTTTTGAACATATACCTAGAAGTGGAGTTGTTGGGTCATAGGCAATTTTATGTCTAATTATTCTGAGGAACTCTCTTTAACCTTGAAGTCCCCCAATTTTTTTTTGAAAATTTTATTTTTTATTCTTTTTTTTAATGTCCATCACCCATCCTCCTGCCCCCTCCCCTCCAGCAACCCTCAGTTTATCTCCTATTATTAAGAGTCTCTTATGGTTTGTCTCCCTCTCTGATTTTAACTTGTTTTATTTTTTTCCTCTTTTCCTCTATGATCCTCTGTTTTGTTTCTTAAGTTCTGCATATGAGTGAAATCATGTGATAATTGTCTTTCTCTGATCGTGAAGTTCCAAAATTCTATCAGAATGGATCCAGGTGTCAATGTTGAACATCATGCTGAACATGCAGGGGGCCCCAGACTGATCTTTTCAGCTCTCTACAAGCTTTCCTTCCCTGTCTTGTCGATTAATTGCTGTGCTTATCTTCCTTCTCTCCTTTCAGGATTTCTATTAAATAGGTCCATTCTTTATCTTCTGTGTTCATTGTCTCTCATAGTTTATATTTGTCTTTTTACATACTGCATTCTGAAAGAATTTATTGATCTTCTAGCTCATATATATTTGATATTCAGCTGTCTTTAATGTACTAGTCTGAGTTTTTTTTAATTTATGAGAATTATATTTCTTTTCTATTGCTTCTATCTGTCTATCATATGATACTGGCTCAAATCTCTCAGGAAATTAACTTATGTACTTTCTATTGAGATAAAATTTACATACAATGAACTTCACATGTATAAGTCAATGCATTTTGACAAATATACACACCCATGTACCCATTTATTCCATAAAGATACAATGTATTGCCATCATTCTAGAAAGTTTCCTCCTACTCCATTAAGGTAAATCTCACTCCTCATAAACCATCATTGTTCCAATATCTATCCCCATAGATCAAACTTCTTATAAATGGAATCATACTCTTTTGTATGTGGCTTCCTTTGCTCATCATCATGTTTCTGAGGTTCACCCGGGTTGCTGTGTGTAGCCGTCCCCTTTCTCTGTTTTGTTACTGAGTAGTGTTACACTGCTGGCCTCCCCTGAGAAATGATGGCAGACTCTTGTAAAATTTCTTGATCTGGAAGACAGACTCTGGACAAGGAAAGCTGAGAACTGGCACACAAACCTTGGGCCATCTACAAAACCCAACTTTGACTTCATTCGCCATGTAGATAAAGGGGGCGGGACCCCCACCTGGGTCCCTACTGGGCCTCACGATGAGACTGTGGATGTCACAAAGCCTCGTTCTCTGTTCAGCATCCTGCTGAATGAACCAAATGCTGGATTATGTTTTGTAAGCTGATTACCAGTTTGAATCTGAGACCACTGACTTTTGGGTCCTCCAATCTTCTTTTGGTCTTTCTATAGTTTCCGTGTCCCTGCTAAGATTCTTCATCATTGTATTCATGTTTTCCTTTAAGACCTTGAACATGTTTTGAAGCAAAGACTTAAAAGAGCTAATTCCAGGGCTCAGTTGGTTAAGCGTCTGCCTTCAGCTCAGGTCATGATCTCGGGGTCCTGGGATCAAGCCCTGCTTCGGGTTCCCTTCTCGGTGGGGAGCCTGCTTCTCCCTATTTTTCTGCCCTTCCTGACTGCTCGGGCTCTCTCGGGCACGCTCTTTCTCTCTCTCAAGTAAATTTTTTTAAAAAAAGCTAATACCAACTTCTGGATCACCTTAGGGTCTAAACTGCTTTTATTTTTCAAAGGTTAGTCACGTTTTCCTGCTTCTTCATTTATCAAATAATTAAGAAATCTAGATCATGTTCCCTTCCTTTCAAGGGCATTGAGTTTTGTGTTGGCAGGCAGTCAAATCACTAGCAGATCCATTTAATCCTTTCAGGTTTGTGTTTTTTTCTCTGTTAGAATGATCTATTTAGAAACTGCCTTTGTCCCAGGATATGAACCTTATCTTAGGTGGTCTTTCATCTATAGTGTGTCCTTTCTGGAGTTGTAATGAAATACTTATAGCATAATATTAATAAACATGCATTTAGCAGTTATGAGTTTTTAAAAAGTGCTCTAGTTTCTTTGTTTTTTCCTAAAAACACCTCAGAGAATTTGGATGATAAACTTACCTTCATAATTGGAAGAAGGTCTTCTACTTTGTGTACCTTTTCCAGAGCTTCTCTAACTTCCAACAATCCTTTAGGATTATTAGCTCTTAAAAAGAGAGAGACAGAGAGGGAGATGGCAACTAAAATTAATAGAGAAATGTAATAGTTAATTATATTAACTGCTATTTCCTTTAATTTAAATAAATCATCCTCAATTATGAGCTCAATATTCAAATGGTGGACCAGACCAAAAGTTTCTAAACAATGGGATGGTTTGATCTTAATGAATTTAGAGCTGCATATAAGAATTAAGAAAATAGGTAACAGCCCATCTAGAAGGTGAAACAGGGAAAAGCAGAAGGGATTGTTAGCCTATGTTTGTATATACACATATGGCTCTTGGATTGGCCACAAAAGATTGATCCTCCTATGCTATCTCTGAAATTAGAAGTGAATTTTTTTTCTTTTCTAAAGTTGCTCAAATGGAAGTACCCTATTAGGTTTTTATGCCAGCTTTACATTTACTTGTAGATAACTATCTATTCAGAAATCTTTTTCCCCCATTGTTTTTCAGTATTCTATCTCTATCATATGGCCTTTCAGGTCAGGGAGAATGAACATTATGGCTGAAATTCCTAATAAAGAAACTCAAAGAAATGCCTCCTACTTTTTAGAGTAAAGAGATGAGAAAAGTCACAATATTGTAAGATTAAAAGGTTGTCATTACTGGAAGGTTTTATATGGCTTTGTGATTCTAAACACTATAAATACTTGATGTACCTTGTTTAGTCTTTCAGTAGGCTTAGTTTTCAAGTTTCGCAAATATAACGAATGTAAAATGTATCAAAGCTAGTCGTTACTATGAAAAAGAAAATTGAAGGATTACCCATGATAAACAAGAATTCTATCTTTAATAAAATGAAGGATCTTCTCAAAATATTCCAGGTATCTCATGTTAATCACCTGACCCCTGGAAGAAAAAAGAATTAAGAATCTTTTTACAAAGGAATATATCCGAAACCAAAGAGAGCCATGAGAATAATATTAGCAAAAAGGTTTGCAAAATTTGCCTGTTTGCAACCAATGAATGGAACAAGCAAAGAACTGTATCAGCAAGATTGCTCATCAGCTTTTGTAGCTTTTTCTGATAGGAAACACACCAAATTCAGCCTTGGAGATGCCAAAATGGGAAGAAAAATCCTCAAGTACTTATATGATATTCAGACTTTTATAGTAATTTCCTTTTATGAATCTTTTCACTTTTTCTCCTTGCCCTTGATTTCTTCCCGTAGCATGATCCGCTACGAGTCCTCCTTGTAGACTAGCTCACACACAGTCTTCATCTCCTCTGCCCACTCTAAATATTATTTCACCCACATTTCTATCCCCACCTCCGAGTTTTAAAACTCTCTCCCAGAACTTCATGTATAGCCAACATGCTGATGTACACATCCAACTGACATGTGTCTAACACGTATGCACCCAGTTGCTCCCTGGGCATCAATCCCTGGATTCACTAGAGTCACCTCAAGTCCATAATTGTGAACAGGAAGTCACTTCTGTACCCTGCACCACCCCTGGTTCCAGCACCAACATGGCCACCTACCTTCTGTCCTACTGTCACCTGGGCTGTTGGAAGGACCAGGCACCTGAGCCAGAGGACCGCCTCCCTTGATTCCCCATGCTCTCCCCGATTTCCAAACCACCACCAGTGCCCCTGATTCAACATTCTCAGTATCTGTCTCGTCCCCTCCCGCTCACTTCCACAAAGCTCTCCAGATCTGCCACTCATTCACCTGAATTATTACACAACTTTCCAGCCACTTCCCTTCCCTCCAGAGTCACCACCCTCTCACCTATTCTGCCACCTACAGCCAAAGTGATCATCTGAAGGTGCAAATCTGCTCTGTCATTTTTCTGCTTACGATCTCTGAATGATCTCTGAACAGCTCGCCATCATCTTTGGGGGGGGGAGGGGGACAAAAAAGCCTTAAGTGGCATACAAAGTTATTTATATTTTGGTCCCTGCCTGTCTTTCAAGGCTCAATTTCTGATACTCCTTTAATTGCAAACTAATCACCAGTCGTAATGAATGAGTCATACTTTCCTGACTACGCCTGACTCACCTGTGGGTCCACACCTCATCCACCTCTCCACTTCCCATCCTCCCAAACAGTTCAAGCATCACCTAAAGGCTAGATTGGACACCACTCTTCTGTGTCCCCCTGGCATCCTGTACACATGACCACCATTACTCTGAACACACTACATAACAGTTCACCAGTCTGTCTTTAGTAAGCTACATCACTAGACAGTGGCCTTCAACTAAAGCCAGCTGAGTCTACCTTATAAATGTCACAAATTATTCTGTAAGAAACAGGAACACACAAGTCACAAGAGAAAAAGAAATTTATTTTCTAAAACATAAAGAAATGTATAAATGACATTTCCATTAAACTTAAATGTCAGAGCTGTAATAAATGGTATTTTGATTCAGGCTTCTGGATATAGAAGCCATTTAGACATGACACAACAACCACATTTGTAAATTTTATCTAAAACTAAATCCATGGGCAGCCCAGGTGGCTCAGTGGTTTAGTGCCGCCTTTAGCTCAGGGCATGATCCTGGGGACCCGGGATCAAGTCCCACATCGGGCTCCCTACATGGAGCCTGCTTCTCCCTCTGCCTGTGTCTCCGCTTCTCTCTCTCTCGCTCTGTGTCTCTCATGAATAAATAAAATCTTCTAAAAAAAATAAAAAAATAAAGATAAATTCATGGCTCCCCTTGAAGCTGATTTTCTTTTCTTTTCTTTTTTTTTTGAAGCTGATTTTCTTTAATATTTTCTCATTATTTATTTAGAGGGTGGCTAAGCACATGAAGGTGGCTAAGTCCATGTCCCTAATTTGCACAGCTTCTGGACAAAACAGAAGCTCTTCCATTAACCTGGTTCACCCTTTCAGAAAGGCTTAGCTACCAAAGTGTTACTGAACCAAATCCTCTGTATGTTGGGGTTTTGGAGATGGGATAGGGGAGCCCTACCCCCACCACAATTCTTGTTCAAGAATTCTTTGGGCCATGCAACACTATCAGGATATTATGGTAAATGTAACGTTCTCCATATAATTACTTCCTGTGATATCTTTAGGACCCTTTAAAGACTGATATCCTAAGCAAATATCTGCAGTCTTTCCTCCAACTGAGCTGTCAGTGAGAGAAGAGCCAGGAGAAGGAGCATGGCCTGTACTGTATTTCTTCGTGCAACCGGATTAGCTGAGAAGAACGCAGGCAGGATCCTGCAGGTGCAGAGCTGATCTATGTATACCTTTGCCAAAAGGTCACCAGGAAAGGAGCAAGGGTTGCTCATGGTCTCCATGACCTATTTAGAATAAACTCCTGTGAAAATAGGAAAGATGCACAAAAGGTTCCTACCTGATTAAATTGATGTGGTTGTTAAAACCTCTGCTAAGGCTTCGTGCTGGCATCTGATCTAACCACAACACTGGCTGGTCTGGGTCAGCAATTCTGTAAAACAGAGCTTGTTAAAGACAAAGACCTTATAAAACCTATAAACGTTCAAAAGCATGAACAATAAAACATGAGACGTCTTTGTAAAAACGAGGAGAAAGCCGTTGCTCAGTCCGTTACATCTAAAAGTATGCAAAACCACCCTGCAGATTCCAAATAGAAGTTCTAATTGGACCAAGTAGTAAGTCCATACAGGTTTACTAGAAGGGCAGTATTTATCCCATATAAATGAATATCAATGGTTTTCCCCACTAAACTATAGCTGGTTAGGTGGGCACACACTCCAATGTCAAAGGACTGGTACACCAAAGTTCATATGAAGGTATCATGGATCATGACATACTCTTTCAAAGACTTTTTCCCAAACACTTCATTTAAAAATATGCTTGGAAACTTGATAGCACTCAATCCCTATATTTAATAAATACTAGTTGAGTGTATTTCTTTTTCTTTTTTTTTTTTTTTTTTACGATTTTATTTATTCATGAGAGATAGAGAGAGACATAGGCAGAAGGAGAAGCAGTCTCCTGCAGGAAGCCCGATAATGGACATGATCCCAGGACCCCCGGATCACGCCCTGAGCCAAAAGCAGACGCTCAACTGCTGAGCCACCCAGGCTTCCCTACTTGAGTATATTTCAAAGAATAATGATGCCCGCAATTTCTGACAAACTGAAGACAGGAAAATTAACTTATAAGGCCTACTGTTAGTAAACAAAACAGGACTCAAAACCTGTTAACTCAGTGGGAAGCACAGGCTTTCAGTTATGAAAATAAGTCACGGGGATGGAAGGCACAGCACAAGGACCACAATTAGGGATGCTGTAACACTATGTGTGGGACAGATGGTAGCTACACTTGTGTGAGCACGGCATAGTGTACAGACTCATCGGATCTTTATGCTGCACACCTGAAACTCATGTAATACTGCACATCAACTATACTATTCAAAAACCTGATAACTAGAGAAAGTTTCTACTGTTTTACAATGATAAGGCTTCTAGTTTATTTTCACTTAAAGATTAGTACCGTCTCCACTTTACTGCAATGTCAAACATGTCTCTCCACTGCATTAGCCGTGTTTTCCCATTCATTCGAACTTTCGAATTGGTCCATGTACGCTGTACAGCTTGCATGACCTCTAACGCTGCCAAACCCATGGCTAAAAGAAGGAGATATTGGAAAAACAAGAGTTGGTAAGTACATGTCAGAGGAACTGATTTTCACCCACTTTACAGAGTCTTGGTGATAACTCCACAGTCATTGTAGAAAGAAAGAATCCTAAGTATTGATAATTCAACAAGACCAGAGATCTGGTGTGATGGTCCTAATAAAACTAAAATCTCCTGTGGAAACTAGAAGCACCCCCAAAGTTGTCTCCTCCCAGCTCCGCCTCCTACCAAAGCAACTGGAGGTTTAAATTCTCCCTTACTCCCACACTAAGCAACCCTCTCCCGTGGATAAACTGATCCACAGTGATGACTGAAGACCCATGTTCTACACCTATACGATAGCAACAGCACAAAAGCCATGCTGGGGCACTCTACTTTCAGAATTCATCGTGAATGAATCTCTACATTTTTGTCCTGATCAAATAGAGATTTTGAGTCAGCACAAATAATTTTTTTAAAAAGCCCAACATGGTTTGACAATCCTTGCTCTTATGTCAGAAATATTTCCATTTTCAGACAGTTTCAGAATACCTCTGTGTATTCTCTTGTTTGGCAGGAAACCAGGTGTTTCATATTGCATCAGTGATCCCAGACGATCAGCTACACAGATCAGCTCTTGTACCTCGGGCTTATAACTCTCAAAATTCTGGTGTAACACATCTCTGGAAGAAACATTATACATATGGTAAGGACTTTTACAACAGATGTCTGGTAATCCAATTTCACCTGAAAAGCAGTCACTTCCTCCACTGGAAAATGAATCCAGAAACCTATGACCATAGAATCTTTACTTCAGTGCTTGGTATCCAACCACACAAATTGAAAGATGGAGTCTTCATGCATGTGTGTGCACAATTATTATCATATGCTTGTGAGTAACAGTGGTAACTAGAGTGCTATTCAGAAGGCACCTATGACCATTATTTGCTTTATAGACTTCCCCAGAATACATAACCTGCATGGACTATCTTTATAAACAAGCAACCAAATCTCTGCCCTGTCTATCCCCTATCCTTGCCCCAATTTGTGTGATACCAAGCGTACTTGGAAATGGCCTAGGGGACTACCAGGAATTGTTTAGCTGCCAACCTATTTGAAGACTACCTAACAACACTTCCAATTTTAAGTTACAGGTTGTGTACAGGTCCCCAAGATCACCCTCCGGTTCAGTAATTCACTAGGAAGACTCACAGGACTCTGCACAGCTATACTCATGGCTGTGACTTATTACAGCAAAAGGACACAAGCAGTCATCAAAGGGGAAAAAAGCTCTAAAAAGGGGTGGCAGAGAATATATATAACCTCTTTCACTAATCAATTTTCTTTTAATACTTCTGATTATATAATAATTGATACACACAAAAGCCTACAACCTCACTACCCAACTTGAGAACTAGAACAATTATGTCATTCTATATTTATGCTGCCTTCCCCATCCTATCCTCTTGACTCCCAGCAAGAGAACTTATTTTGAATTTTGTGTATGATTCCCTTTTTTTCTTTTTAAAAATTAGGTTCCATGTGTGTGTCCCTAAAGAATATATTCTGTAGTTTTGCTTATGAACTTTATGGGAAAAATAGATACTGCAGTTTACTGACTTGCTGTTTTTACTCAACTTTTTATTTTACGATTAACCCACATTGTTGCATGGGTTGTTTGCTTGTAATATCCCACCATGTGCTGGTATCACTTTTATCCACTCTTCTGTTCATGGCCTTTTGGGATGATTTCCAGTTTTCCATTTGAACAAGCACTACTATCAACTGGTACAGACCTCCTGTTGGACATGCACACAAGTACCAGGTTTCCTACTAGATATATACACAGTGGTAGACTTTTAAGACTGGAATGTACAAATGTTTAATTTTACAAGATTGTGACAAACTGCTGGCCAAAGTGTTTATAGCGATTTCAACTCTCATCCAGAGCATATAAAAATCTTCCTTGACCCCCGCTTCTGGTCAACATTACTATTATCAGACTTTATAATATTTGCTCATCTCGTGGGTGAAAAATGTAGTCAGGTGTATTTATGAGCCGAAGCATCATTTTCTATGTTTATTTGCCATTCACGTTTTCTGTTGTTCATGTCCTTTGCACAATTTTCTCCTGGTTGTTTCACTTTTCTTTTCAAATTTGTAGAAATTTTTCATAAATTGTGGATACTAACTTTGGGTATATAATCAGGTTGCAAGTACCTTTTCACAGTTCGGACTTACCTTTTTTCACTGTTTATGGTGTCTTTTGTCAAACAGCAATTCATAGGTTCAACACAGTCCAATTTATCAGTCTAAGGTCTACACTTTGTGTGTCTTAAGAAAGTCTTTTCCACCTTAGGGACCCTGGGTGGCTCAGTCGGTTGGCGTCCAACTCTTGATTTTGGCTCAGGGTGGTGACTTCAGGGTCCTGAGATCCAGGCCCCCGTCAGGCTCTGCACTCAGTGGGGAGTCTGCTTCTCTCCTTCTACCTCTCCCTCTCTTTCTGCCCCTCCCCCTAGTCATGCCCACATGCTCTCTTTCTAAAATAATACATAAATCTTTAAAAAAATCCTTTTCTATCTTAAAATCATGAAACTATTCACTTCTCTTTTCTCTTAAAACGTAAACAAATTTGCCATTCATATTTAAGATTTTCATCCATCTGGAACTGGATCACATCTACACCATCATAAAATCAATTCAGTTTTTATCCGTATGACAACCTAATTGTAGCACTCTCACTAGATAAATTCCCCTCTGATCCATGGGGATCATGTCAGCATTTTATCTAGGTTCTCCAGATAATGCTTCTAAGCTCTTTACTGTGCTTCTTTGGTCCACATGAGCATCTCTGAACCAATACCAATCCATTTTCATTACTATGTTATATCTTGTTTTCTGGTAGAATAAAAGAACCTTCCTCTCCAAGCCTGGACATCATCTTCAGGAGTATCTTGATTACTCTTGGTCCTTTGTTCTTCTACACAATTGATAGAATTAGCTTATCAAACTCCTCAAAAAACTTTTGAGATTTGGAATGGCATTTTAATGAATCTATAATTAATTTGCAGAGAACTGGGGCACCTGGGTGGCTCAGTGGTTGAGCATCTGCCTTCAGCCCAGGTCATGATCCCAGGGTCATGGGATTGAGTCCAGCATCGGGCTCCCCACAGGGAGCCTGCTTCTCCCTCTGCCTGTGTCTCTGCCCCTCTCTGTCTCTCATGAATAAATGAATGAAATTAAAAAAAAAAAGTATGTTTAATCATACTTCAGTCAAATAGGATACCAATTATTTGAAATGTGTTTAAATATGCATAGCAGTGGTCATTCTTTATAAATGACCAAAGATATACCTGAAAAGAATATGTATTCTTGGATTATGGGGTACATAGTTCTAGAGTAGACTAATATATCAAGTTTGTTGATTATGTTGTTCAAATAGTCTAAATCTTTACTAGTTATTTTTGTGTTTGACTTACTAAAAATTGGAATCTCTCATTAGGATAGTGAATTTATTGATTTCTCTGTGAATTTCTATCAATTTTTAAAGTTATTTTACTAGGTGTATATAAGTTTAGATTTGTAACTACCTGATTTAAACCCCTGTCCTATGTAGTAATAACCTTTGTTCCCAGTAACTTAAAAAAAATTTTAGGGATGCCTGGGTGGCTCAGTTAGTTGAGCATCTGACCCTTAGTTTCAGTTCAGGAAATGTTCTCAGGTTGTGAGATTAAGCCCTGAGTTGGGGTCTGCATTCAGCTCAGAGTCTGCTTAAGAGTCTCCCTCTGGGCACTTGATGGGATGAGCACTGTTTGCACAGGGTGTTATTCTGTATGTTGGCAAATTGAACACCAATAAAAAATAAATTTATCATTAAAAAAAAAAGTCTCCCTCTCTGTCTGCCCCTCCCCCTGTTCATGATCTCTTGAGCTCACTCTCTCAGATAATAAACAAAATCTTTAAAAAATAAAAATAAATGTAATAATTTTAAATCTATTAATATACCTATATCAGGATTCTTTTAGTGTTTCCCAAGTGGAACTTTTTCTATTCCCTTACTTTCAATCTTTGTGTCCTTATGACCCTTGTAAAAAGCATTTAACTGGATTTTTAAAACATTCCAATCCAATTGTGTCTGTCTTTTGAAATTTAGTCTATTTATATTTACTGTCATTATTAATATATCTGGATTATTTCAACCTATTCTTATTTTTTCCACCTTTTTAATGGCAACCACCTGCCCCCCTTTTCCAGTTAATTTTTTTGTTTTGTTTTGACCTTTCTACTAATATAGAAGCTGTACACTTTGTTTCTAACTTTTAGTACCCACCCTAGATATTTTAAATATTTGTGTATAACTTAAAGCTTTAACACAATATTTAACCCCAATTCCCTTAGAATATTTAATTCTTGCTTTCCCTTAACTTGCTTGCTATTATGCCTAGTATTTTATTTCTGTCCTTTTCATAAAGCCCCCAAATCAGATATTATTTTATATAAACAGTGTTTATTTAGACTTACCAATTTATCATGCTTACCATTTTCCTTTTCTCATTATTCCTTGTTGTATCTCAAATCTTGCCTAAGGTCAATTGCCTTTTTCTTTAATCACATGCCTTAGACGTTTTTTAGTGAATGGCAGGTGGTGGTTAATTCAGTTTTTGATTATTTGACTATATACTTATTTGATCTTCATTCACAAAAGATAGTTGTTGCCATTTTGATGTTGAGAGGCTTACAGTCAGTCCAATTATTGACCTTGAGTAGGTGATAGGATTTTTCTTTCTGTTTAACAAATTTTTTCTCCTTATGTGTTGTTCTACTGTTACTTATGATGTGTCTGGATATGGATTTCTTGCCATTTAACTTGCTTTTTGAAAAAAATCTGTGGATTTATGTTTCCTTAATTCTGGGAAACTGTTAGCCATTATGTCTTCAAAAATTACCTCTCTCCTCCATTCTCTCTTCCCAGGATTTCAATTAGATATATGCTAGACATTCTTCCATCTTCCACATCTTCTATCTCTCATGTTTTCTAACACCTGTATTCTTTGTGATTTTTACAGATTTTTCTTAATTTTTAAGGCATTGCTAGACTTCCAGGAATTAATTTCTATTCTATATCTAATTGTTTTGTAATGGGATAGCCCTTCAGCCATAATGCAGTAGTTGGCCAGCACTGTAATTTCAAACTTTTGGTTTTAAATAATCTGTTTTAAGAGTAACATGGTAATAGTAATGCATATCAACAACTGCCAATAAATACATTTGAAGTCTGAAGGTTCCATAAAATTAGCAGGGAAGGTCAAGGTAGAAGGAAAAGTGGTATCCAAGGTAAGTTTCAAGGTATCTTATAAACTAAAATAAATATCTGCAGACATATCAAATCCAGAAATAAATTCCTGAGAAACATGGATAGGAAGCCATTTATTGAGCAAGAGTTCTCATGATGAGCTTATAGCAAAAAAAAAAAAAAAAAGTTTTCATTTAAAGCACTTACTTTATGTGGGGTTGCAACCCTGGTTGCTCTTCATAGTCTTCTATGAGGAAAGGCAGATTTTTAGCCCAGTGGTCTTTAAAGCTTCCAGGCAGATCCACATCAACGTTATATTCCGTAAGAGGAGTATCGAGGTGTGCGTGAAGATACCGAGAATACTCTGCAGATGGGAGATGAGATCTGACACAACCAAATATTGCTAAAGAAATCACTTTTATTGCTGACTGCCATAGAAATACTTTGTAGCAAATTGCAATTCCAAGAATTCTAAATGGAGATTCCAAATTGTAGTAAGTCACTATTATATGATACAGGGTAACTCAGGGTACCAGGATCAAACATAAGCCAGTCAATCTGGGTCCACTTTGGCTAAGCTTTAATCATCTTTCCATGAACAACACCAAAGACCTTGCTTTTTTTTCTCGCAGAGTCTGAGAATCCAAGTTCAGTGTCAGATCCTGGTTCTCTATCAACTGATACAAATCAACTGACCATGTATATGATTTCATCAACTGACAGACTACTGCTTATCTCTACAGAAGCAGTGTAGAAAAATACAGGATATGGAGTACCCCTCCTTCAATCCACAGCTCACATGTTCTACTAAACAAACCAGGAAACAAGAGGAAATTGTAATTTAGAATGAGGAGCTATGCTGTCCAGTAGGCCAGCCCCTAGCCACCTGGCTAGTGAATACTTAACATGTGGCCAATGTGTAGAGTGCCTGGGTGGCTCAGTTAAGCATCCAACTCCTGATTTTGGCTCAGCTCATGGTCTCAGGGTCTTGAGATCGAATGCCCTGTATTGGGCTCCATGCTGATGTGGAGCCTGCTTGAGATTCTCTCTCCCTCTGCTCCCTCCCCCACTGCTCATGCTTGCATGCCTCTTTCTCTCTAAACAAAGGAATACAATATGGCCAGTGTGACCAAGAAACCATATTTTAAATTTTAATTAATCTGAACATAAAAACTGGTATTTGATTCAATTATTAGAAAATGTCAGTATGTTTGGAACAACTCACATATATGAATTAACTTTTCCAAGTTTAAATTTTATGAAACATGACCTCAAATTAAGAATTTCCAATGAAGGGGATCCCTGGCTGGCTCAGCGGTTTAGTGCCTGCCTTTGGCCCAGGGCGCAATCCTGGAGTCCCGGGATCAAGTCCCACATCGGGCTCCCGGAATGGAGCCTGCTTCTCCCTCCTGTGTCTCTGCCTGCCTCCCTCCCTCCCTCCCTCCCTCCCTCCCTCCCTCCCTCCCTCTCTCTCTCTCTCTCTCATAAATAAATAAATAAATCTTAAAAAAAAAAGAATTTCCAATGAAAATTTAACATCTAAATTAAGATGTAAGCATAAAGATGTACTATAAGTATAAAATATACACCAGATTTCAAAAACTTAGTACAAAAAGTATCATAAAATATCTAATGATAGGGGCACCTGGGTGGCTCAGCCAGTTAAGCGTATGCCTATGGCTTAGGTCATGATCCTCGAGTCCAGGGATGGAGTCCCACACTGGGCTCCCTGCCCAGCAGGGAGTCTGTTTCTCCCTTTCCCTCCCCCTGCTCATGCTCTCTTCTCGTTTACCCTCATTCTCAAATAAATAAATAAAATATTTTTTAAAAATTCAATGATTGAGCAATTTTTGTGACTTACCTCGGAGATATTTCACTTTCAGATACTCTGGGCTAGCCTTCTGGCCTGGGAGAGGATCATTTAGCATGACTTTGGTCTGTGCTTTTATGCCTTCATAAAACTGTCCCATGGCAACATGGCTGAGTCCTTTCATGTACTGGCACACCTCGTTATAGGGTTCGAGCTGCAGACACCGCTGACATGCGGAAGGAGGAAATGCTCTATTAGTATTAGTACAGTCACAGGTGACTTTTAAGTGCTTTATTCTTTGGTCTGGAGTTGGAAAAGTTTTCCCTCCAGGCTAAATCAAACCAAATATATGCTCTGTAAGTTAGTCTATAAGGCAGGGCAGTGGTTTTTCTCCTCTCTTTTTGTTATGGTTTAAACACTATTCTTGGTCCTCCTCCCTATTCATCCCACTAAACTTTGTTGAGCATTCTGAGAACTGTTACGGTGTTTCTCACATGTGGATGCCCACCTTGAAGTTCTTAAGGGCTTCCTGTAGGCTGCCATGGTGATAAAGCATCATTCCCCGGAGCTGTAGGGTCTGTACATGATTTTGGTTGAGCAACAGTGCCTTCTGGAAGCTCTCAGTGGCAGCTTCAAAATTGCCCAGTTCTCTAGGTATTTAACAACAGTTATGAACACAGTGCAGAATATTTCAGTGAACACATGGAGTAAGTCAGCCTCAGAATTACAGTCCCATCTGTGAGTCAGATACCTAGATATGGATGGTCCCTTGTCTATCTTAGTACTTCACAGCTACATACTCTACTTACTTTTCCTGAATTTTACCAGATTATTAGCCCTTGAAATTCTTTGGGGAAAATGAATTTATTGATTTCCAAAAGCAAGTGTTTATTCAAATCCTTTTCTCCAATTCATGATGAGCTCCAACCCCTAAAAAACGATGTGTTAATTTTAGTACTTAGATAAAACCATATCTCTCCATTGGGGTAAAAAAAAGTATATAGGTCACAATCATACACAGGTTCCTCATTCTGAATCACATTCATAGGCTTAAAATTGCATTTTTTTTTCTATCACAGAAGTTACTTCACTTAAAATCTGATAAATCGTTTCATAATTTAAAATTCCAAAAAAAAAAAGTGTATTTTAGAGTTGTGATCATTGCAGAGTGGAGATGATTACTAGCCTTCTTTTACATGTTATATTTTTACAAATAATAAAAGCACCTTCAAAATGTCCCATGTGTCAATTTTCTATAAATAATGAATATTTTTTAATAATATAACACATTTATATAGCACTTTACCAATTACTCTGGGTGCTTTCAAATCTGTTTTCAATGTATGTCCCCAACAATTCTGTGGGACAGCAAAGGTAAACATTGTCATTTAAACCCAGAAGGAATACAAAGACACTTTCAAGTTAGTGTAAAAGATCTTCTCCACCACGTCAGATAAATAAGCTCTTGAATTCAGTCCTTCCTGACTGAGGCACCTAACAGTGCTCTGAAGGGGATTTCTGTTACTGTCTCCTTTCTAACTTTTATAGTACCTTGTAAGGGAGAACCCTGAAGCTCAGGGAAGTTATAGACACACAAGTGTAGGATGGATAATTCAGAACTAAAACCAAATCTCCTGACTCTCGAATCCCAAGCCCCTTCTTTCATGTCATGCAATTTCTTTTTCAGATCAGAGCATAAAGATTTTTGAAAGCCAAAAGTCAGAGCAGCTCTACTACTGGTCAGGGTAATGCATGGGGTCAGGACACCAGGGGGTAGGCACAGCTTCTCAATCCTGGTGGAGATGCATTGTAGCTATATCATAATTAATCATATTGATGATAGGGATGCAACATAATTTTCCATCCCTTTTATCTAGGAATCTTCAAACAATCACAGTAATGTGGGAATTAACCTTAATTACTGCCTAGAAAAGCAGCAGTTTTTATGATTCAAGAACTTATAATGCCACTATTCAGAACAATAACCCTAGAAGAAGTAACATTTCTAGACCAATATATATGAGGTGAAGTTGTTTAGAGGGGTAAAAATATATATCATGATATCCTCTGATATATGGTTCTTTCTGTATTCCAGAGAAGGTCTCAACAAGCTTATAAATGCCTATGTGATTCAGAATGACAATTTCTTTTTGGTTAAAAATTCAATCTCTTTTAAAGTATCACTATTACGTGAGGCTCTCTTGTCTCCCCACTCTACACCCTCTCTTTTACCCCAACTACTATTGCTTTTCTTACCTATAGGCCTGTCCCAGGCTTTTATATGCATCAATAAAATCAACTTTCTGCTTCAAGGCTTCTTTGAAGGATTCAATAGCTTCCTAAAAAAGTATACAGAAAATTATGTCATTTGCATACCTGTTAAAATTTAATTTCACTTAAATCACTAAAGGATTTAAAAATATATTACACATGGTCTCGGAGTGATTTTTTTTTTTTAATATGAGGACTTCAAAAAAAAAAAAGAGAGGTAGAGAGTATGACAAACTATGAGTCAGGAGGATTTAATTTCAACAGTAAACAAATGCATTGCTATGAACAATGACAGAGCCTTAAAAGTTTCTCTCTTTCAGAATGGGAAAATAGCTTCTCACTACCTATTTCATTAGGGCTTTGGTTACTAATGATATCACCCTCATGTCAACATCATTTCTTTAATTGATAAAGGTCTCGTGGAATAAAAGTTTACTAGCTGTGTGAAATAATCTTAAATGATCGTAACTAGCAGGATTTAAACTGAGCCAACAAGAGAGACAAAAAAGGCAAGCCAGTGACATTGTTCATAAAAAAAGCAACAAGGCTCCCAGACTGACTTTCGGAAGGATGCCCATGATCTACAGGAAAAAGAAACAGTAAAACAAAATAAGACAGAAACCTTGAGATTGGGACATTTGGGGCACAGCCTCTGCCAGCACGACTCCAGGTCTACAGCTAGCAGAGTAAGATGGCACAGATGCTATGCTTTAGGGAGGAGCCCTTAGGGAACACACAATGCACCTGGCCACTGTGGAATCCTCTGTAAACTGTTAATAAAATGTACCATTCTGCTTCACAATAAACACCCTAGTCTTAAGCTGTATTCAATGTAATTTTCATTATGACTTGATTATTTACCATAATAAAAAATTATAAAGACATTTCACACATTTCCCAAGGAAAAAATGTGTCTTACTCTAGTTAATGGCCACAGAGTAGCATGAGCTCTAATGACTTTAATGAGAAAGACTTTAAAACTTCTATATTTTTCATATCTGATTAGATAATTTATAGCAAAAAACTACTAAAGATCATATGCCTTGCACATGGTAGGCACTCAATAAATATTTAATGATTTTAAAGGCACATAATCCTAATTCTTTTCAAAAAATCATCCATTGCCTGTTTGATTTTCTCTGTAGTGGGTAGCAGGGTAGAGGGGCTGGCTTTCAAACTCTAGAAGACTCTAAAAGAGGCAAGCCCACTGGATGTGCACTGTTTGGTAGAAGGATGAGAACAGATAAATTGTAACTCTTAATTAGGCTTCTGGCCCTGGCATAGTCTCAATCTTTTGCGATTTTCACAACTATATTTGTAATTCAACAAACATGTATTGAGAGCCTACTATGTGCCAGGGCAGTGTGACATACAGGGGATACAAAGAGGAGTAATCATTCTCTCCACCCTCGAAGATTTCAGTCTAGTCGGAAAGCCAATCACTTAACCAGGTTATTGGGACACAAACTAAGAGCTACAACAGAGATAAAGTGAAAGTTTCTGGGAATAGAGAGAAGGGAACAACTAACTGAGCCTGTGACACGAGGAGAGGCTTCACAGAGGAAGTGGCAATGGAGCTAGGCCTGGGAGAATGAGAAGGAATTTGGCAAAGAAAGGGGGCACTTGGATGGGGGATGGTGGTGCACAGTGGCAGGGTGCTCGGCAGTGGTGGGGAAGGTGGGAGGGCAGGAGTGCAGGTGGAGAGGGGGGAGGGAAAAGACAACGACGACGGGGACCAGGCTGGTGTGGAGAGCTGGAGCCAGAGGGGGAAGGGCTCTGCCATGCTCCTGCAGTCACAGCGTCACCCAGCCAGCAGTGAGGACTGGGGGCTTCGAGGAGGAGGTGCGGGACCTCACAACACTGATCCTTTGAAGATGATTGCCACAAGCTACAACAGAGCAGCTGGGCGGGACAGGGGAGGGAGCAGAGCCCATCAAGGAGGTGGCTGCAGAGGTCTAGGCAAGAGATAACAGAAACTCAAACTGAGACAGTGTTTCTGTCTGACAGAAAAGAAGGGTCAAACTCAGGAGATATCCTTAAAGGCCAACTAAGAACCTGCCGGCATGGGTCTGGGGAATAAGGAAGGAGGGAGGGGGAAGCTTCGAAGCTGAAGAGCCTGGGTGGAAGGCAAGAGCTTGGACCAACGTAAGGAAGTAGGGGGGGATAGCTGCGGGGTAGGGCAGGGGTGGGAGGAGGTCAGGAGCCCAGCCAGGGCATGGTGGATCTGGGGGGTTTGTGGATATCTAGGGGAGATGCCCAGGACACATCTGCTGCCCACTGCACTTACAGCACGCTGGGATGCCACAGTTCTTCAAAGTCTGATTTCTCTTCAGCTTTTAAGAGTCTTTGGTTTCGGGGTTCCTGTCTAAGCACAGCTCTCTACCTCATTCTGCCAAAGAGGGGGACATAGCAGAATCAAGATCTGAAGCCACTGGGAACAAAGAAACTATGTTTGAATGAACCAATCTCTAAGCACATGAACTGGCTGTGAGTTCGTCAGCACAGAAAGTGCAAACATCGCCACCTTTATGCCACCATTGTCCTGGCCAGTGGCAGGCGGCTGTCTCGGCTGTCTCTCGGGCTTCCCTCATTTATTATAATGAAGAGAACAGCCTCAGGGAACTCCTCAAAGTGGCTGACAAAACAAACAAACAAAAAAAAAAAAACGTGCTTCGGATATACAATTTTTGAAATATCCTTACATCACAGATAAGTTTTCGCTGTATTTTCCCAGGGGAAATACAAAATGTCTTCTCTATCTACCAGATTGGACAGTTGCACATTTGTCATGTAATATTACTTAAATAATTTCTAATGTATTACATCATAAAGCAAATAAGCAAACCACTTGCTTAATTAATTTCTACATTGCTGTTGACCTAGAGAGACAGGCTTTAGGACATAATGTAACTAGAATTCATTGGTCCAGTAATACTTTGTCTCTACAGTTAACAAGAGAAATAAAGATATCTAATCTAAGTTCATTAATTTAATGAAGGCATGTCACCACTGACTCAGTTTTCCAATCTGTGTAACTGGGACACCCTCTGCTCCTTCTATACTTCATGGGGATGCCGTTGGGATGAATGAGACAATACGTAAACACTCTGACCTCCTCGGACAGCAGATCTACAAAAATGCAAAGAAAAAGTTCCCATCTATTACACATGTTGATGCTGGGTTTATGAGCACAGTGAAGAGGAGAAAGCTCCAAATAATTTGGCAAGATTGGTTCAGGGAGGGGCTTCTCCTCACAGAATAAAAGCACTGCATCTAAGGTTCTCATCACATGGATTTGGAATAAATCCAACTGAATTTCAGCGCTTGTCCCATGTGAATGTGGCATCCCTGTTACAGCTCTTTTCTGAAAAATTCTCATTTCAAAGTAACACAAAGAGCCCTACCCACATTCCTAAACCTGGTTTTAGAATCCACAGTGAAATCTTCTATTTGCATTTGTTTACTTTAAAAAAAATTTTTTTAACCTCTCAGTACTGATTGCCAGTATTTTTTCCATTTCAAACCTTTGTTTGCCTCCATGAGATATTCTTGGGATAGACTTGGAATACAGTATGGTGATTTTTGAATTTTTAAATTTAAGGTGACTGACAGAAGGTGAGAGGAGTAGGGGCAGATACAAGATAAGCTGGAAAAGCCCATCTGGCAGCTGCTCAAAACACATTTTAAATAACTGTTCTCCACACCTATGGCTGCCGGTCTGACCACTGGGGTAAGAGTCTCCAGGAGGACCACCCTCCACATACTTGCAGGAAGGACAGTTCGAAAGGAAACCTGCACAATTCTTTCTGGTTTAGTTTGGTATTTAGTGGATGGGAGTTATTTTTTCTAGTCTATGAAATGGAGATTAAATTAAATGTTCATATGTAACACAATCTGTAATAATTAAGATCTGATCCATGCTCACAGCTCCTAAAGTACTTTTCACACACGTTATTTTATGGAATCCTCACAACGCCATCACAAACCCTTCAAGAGGCGGACAACAGAGTCATCTCTACATGACAGATAGAGAAGGAGTGGCTGAAAAGCATGAGTAACTTGGCCAGTGGCACAGTTTGCAGGATTCAGAGCAGAAGCTCAAGCCAAGGCCTTCCAATTCCAAATCCAATGCTCTGTCCTTGAACTTCACATATTCAACTGATACTTACTGAGCACCTACTATGTGATGAGCACTGCCCCTAACACTGGGGATTTACAACCTAAGCCTTTTTAAAGATATACTGTCCCAACCCTCCAAGAGTATATGCATCATCCTCGAACTACTTTCTATAATAAAATGCATGCTCGTTCATCCAGAGTACCCTTCCCTGCCACGTGCTATTGAAATTCTTCCCAGCTTCCAAAGTTCAAGTGGAGAACCACCTGTCTGTGAAGACTCTCATGACCTCCTAGTCAGCCTGAAGTGTTTTTCATCAACACAGGCTGACTCTCAGGCCAGCCCACTTTTCAATCAGATGGTTTGGGTGGGTCCTACACTAGAGCTCTGACCCTGTGCCAGCCATGGATACCCAGGACACCACTGTGAGGTCCCAGCTGGGTTCCCGCCCCCCCGAGAAGGCTGCTGCACATTAGGTCCTCAGCACACTCAGCACTAGACCAAGGGCAAGAGGCAGTGACAGGCTGGAGATGACACTGCCAACCCCACATGTCAGTCAGCGTGGACGACAGGTTTCCTATTTCCTCTGGTTCTTTCCCTGCTAATAGCAAGCTCCATGAGGCAGCAGCAACGGGCCTGTTGGAGAAATATCTCCAGACCTGCTCCTGCAGCCCCCAGGGGCCCGATCAGGTCTCCCGCTCTGATCGGGGTGCTGCTAATGTCTCCCAAAGGTCCTCTGCCCCTAACCTCCCCAGCTACTGGCATGTCAGAATCCACTTCCTAAATGGCAGATTTGGTCTCAGTGACATACCTTCCCCCAAATCTAGATTTTGCAGCTCCTCTGGGCCTATAAATTAAAGTCAAGATGCTCAGCATAGCACTCTGGACATTTCGGGACCTCCCTTGGGCAGACTTGCCAGCTCACCTCCCCTACGCTCAGACCCATTTGCTACGCCACAAACTGGCTGTATGTCCATGTTCTATGCCAGCACTCATGCTTTTCCTATCAGCCTGAAGTAGCTTGCTGCCCCCAGTCCACCCCACCTGCAAGGCCCTGGACAAGGTCCACTTGCTCTCTGGAACCTTCTCTAATGCGGCAGTTTAGGTGAATCTTTCTTACCTCTGTTGCCAAAGCACTTTGTTCATATTACCTCTTATAGTGTATTTACCATATGATAAGTTATATGCGGAAGACACTTTGCAAACTGTATCCTTTCTCAGTGTCAAGTGTGAAAGATTCTTTTCCTCCTTCTCACTAACCCTTTATCATTTCTCGGCCTGCACCTTCCTCCAAGGACCTACCACATAGTAGGAGCTCAATAAGTATGTTGACTAAAACTCCTTCCTAAAATAAACCAATTAGATGGACACGTGAGATGTCATTTTAAAACACGCCACACGAAACCCCACTAAAGCCTCCCGCCCGTGAGAGAAAAGCAGAATCACGATACTGTATACATAGTGCACAACACTTTCACCTTCAAAAGTCCTCTGTGAAAGAAAGTTAGACCTTTGTATAGCATAGCTATAGGCTGGTTTTTGTTCAGTTCTAAGGACTGCTGGAAGTCTTCGTGGGCTGTTGCATAGTCCTACAAAAAGGAGAGTAGGGGGAAAAAGTAAAGTAGTATTCATTAGACATTTGGACATTTCTCACTTCTGATTGGTAGAGAGAAAAAAAACCCTCAATTCATTCTGTGCCCTTTTGGGCTTTAAAGGGAACATTTCATAGCCATAAATAACAACTAAATTTTTATCCTGTTTGTTGAAAACAGCTAATTTTCTTAGAAATTGATGGGAAAGCCCCAAAGGTTTAATTTAAATAGACTGTTTCAACTGCAAAAAAATTCTTTGTAAAAAATAGTATCAAGGTCATAATCTGTTAGAGAAAACTTTACAAATTATTTTCTGGTACTAGCATCTTATTATACTGAATACTTCTAAAATAATTATGCCATAGTCAACCTTAAAATGTGTCATGCTGAGATTTTTTTTCAAACCTATTTTCTTTTGCAATTACATCAATCCACAAAAATAACTGTGGCAATCATACATATCATGATGGTAAAAGATAACCTTGCCAGATCTGAGTCATACATAGAGAAGCTACAGTCTGGGAAGTCATGTTAATTCTGGTTATGGCTCTTGAGTCTGACACCCAAGGAAATTCAAACTGTGCCTTTTAGTTTAACAATCACGTTGATAACATGCACACCCGCTTCCTGATGCTGACATGTGCAGAAAAGGCTGAAGTATATAGTCAATGAACCAAATTTCTCTTTTGTTCTCTCTTTCTTTTTTCCCCAAATCTAGAATTAGTTACTGCTGACAGCTCAAGCAAGAAAATGTGCTCTTGGGACTTAACAGTTCTCCACTAGGTTCAAATTCAGCTAAAGAAAGTGCTTTTGTAACTGTCTTGTACCACAAACATTTATTATATAGCCCCAAACCCAAATCTGTCAAAGGGTAGCTTTCCAAAGTAAACAGAAAAGTGAACATCTTCATCATCACAAAAGAGAATGTGTCCAGACAAAAACAACTCACCTCTGATATGAAGTACAGGGTCCCCCGGTGTCTGTACAGCCGTGCTGAGGGCTGAAGCTGGATAGCTTTGGTGAGATCATTCACTGCTTCATTAATTCGTCCCAGAGGGGACAGAATCTATAAACCCAAAAACATAATTAGGGAAGAAATCTTCCAGTGATCAACCCCAAGACTGCCAATGCTTTTGACTCTTCAATTCCATTTCACCACACTCTACTCACAAGATTGCTCCCTTGGCAGACAAGAATCCCTGACCCCTCATACTACACAGCGAGGTTCAAAGTCGATAGGCTAAGGGGCCACTAGCCTTTGTCCAGCCAACAGGGAGGCTGATGAACCAAAAGCATGATTCCACATTCTGGGTTACAATAGATATTGCTTTGCTTGAAATGGGACCATTCTTTTTCCCTCAACCTATCGTTATCTTTCAAAACAAAATTCAGCATTTCAAAGTTAATCTGAAAGATAACTTTGAACCATTTTAAATAGAGAAATTGTTGGACACAGATTAGAGCCCTCCATTGTCTTTAGCGCTGGTTGACAATCTCTAAGACTTCAGGTATCTTGTGAGTCCCTTTGTGTTAACTCTCAGCTCATCAGTCATGATCTACAGAGCAGAAGAACACATATCTGCTAGCTTGTTTGGGAAGCCCTTGAGATCCAGCAATCAGCTTGTGCAGGTGACAATGACAACACAGAAGATAGTTCTGAATGCAAAAGTACATCAAAAAGACATAAGAAAATCTAAAATGGGTTTCAGTACTCATGCAATCGAGATGAAGCATTTCACCCTGAGTAAATGTCCCGAAATTAGGGTTAAGTTTGTTCTCATGATATAGGTCAGGTTCCATCAGGTTCTACTATTTCCATCAGGTTCTACTACGTGGTTTCCTACTCTGCAGGAACTTAAAACCAGCAAAAGAAAGAGAATTCAGGCAGGCACATCACCAGTGGCAAAAATGGCAGCTCAGAAAAAGGAAAGAAATGAATTATGGAATATATATCTGAAAATTCAAAAAGCATAGCAGTCTGGGGTTATATTTTGAAAGGCAGAACATCCCTACCTAGTTTATTAAGCCCTAGGTACATAATTGAAATATCACACCCCAGCACAATAATCAACATGCATAATAATGACCTGAGTAACTAAAAAAGGTTAAAATTATGTTCATTAAATATAGACTATTTCAGCAAGTACAAAGAGAAAGATTTCTCATTAAATAATTCCTGAGACATATAAATGATATGCTATAATTAAGCTGGAAAAAATCACTTTGTAGTGATATTATTGCCCAATAATGCCAGAAAGGGGGAATATTACCATATACATTTAAGATCATCAAAAATTACTTTTCAGATTACCAATATAATTTTTGGGTACACAATTAGCTTTTTATAAGAAACACGAATCTTCTACAGCAGCTTAATAAGTTTTCTTTCTATGTATACTTACGCTCCTGCTTTAACATAACATCAGAGTAATAGAAGGAAAAAGTATCAGTACCCACTCCCCAGAGCAGATATCACCAAACTGGCCACCAAATGTTCACCCTAGATACCAACAAGGTTCTCATGCAGTAATGAACAAATTATAATCACTTAATCCTTATTAAGTTATATTCTAAAATAGACAAGGGATAATGGATTATAGCATTAATTGAGAAAGATTTTCATTCAGAAACCCAAATTCCCAATAAAACATAAAATTCACTGCAAGAAACTGAACTATAATTTTAGAGACTATACTTTTGAGAATATAAACACCACAAATACAGTTTTTAAATTATTAAAACATTTAGCGTCTTCTTCTAAGTTTTCTCCCCCACAAGAGAGGGGGAGGCAAAGTCACTTTCCTTTAGATGAACTATGAAATCCCACTATGTCAGATGATTAAAAGTTAAGTTTTCTCCAGATTGAATAAGTTAACAAATTCTAAAGCATTTAATGTGGTTAAATGAACAGTAAAATGAAATATGGGCAGTTCACTATCATATTAAGTAAATGATAAGATGAACCCGTTTCATTCAAAAACATTAAAAGGAATGCATCTCCACACACCTTTCTCTGATCTGAACACCATTATCCATCTGGTCCCCCAAGAGGTGGGCTGATTGGCTCTAGTGGCACCACATGTGAGGCTTCCACATACACTCCCACACCTGCCGCCCACAGGCACACTTTTCTGCTCCTGAGAAGCGCCTCCTCTTACTGTCACTAATACTGTCATCACATTACCTCTGTCTCCACTTCAAGTCCTAAGTTCCTCCAAGGACTGGCTGTGGTAAGCCTTACCTGATCTATGTCTCCACGTAGATAAGTACATCTCACAAGAACTGTATGTAAACGTACGTGCACATGCACACACACACACAGGCGTGTACACACACACACACACGTGCGCATACTCGCGCACACTTGTTATGGTTATAAATTTCATTTTGACCATATCATCGTACAGTTTTGCTGAAGTATGTCATATATATACATAGTAAACATGATGTGTGATATATTTTTCAATGAACACTAACTGTAGTACATGCCATCACCACATATTTTAATACTAAATATTACTATTAAATGTTAAATCAGGAGTATCACTCAGCCCATAGTTTTATAGTAATTTCAATCATGTTTAAAGGCATTCAGTACCTATAGAGGAAAACACAACAGGTATAAGGAAGCTTTAAAATTTACAAGTAATAAGATAATAGTAAAAAAAAAAAAAATCTGAGATTCAACTAGTCCAATAACGACAGAGGGAAAAAGAAAACCACACTCACTTCTGCTCGCTGTTCAAATACCTCTGGACGATCTGGTTCCAAGGTAATTACTCGGCTCAGTTCGAACAGAGCAAGCTCAGCATTCTTAATGTCCTTGAAAAGGCATTAGCTCAGTATGAGATACACTGTTACTTAAAACCAGGTTGAATAGTTTTTCTGAAAAAACTAATAATTTAGTAATGATATAACTACATATTTAGAAATAAATATGAACTTCACTTCTGTACAAAAGATCTGCTGGTTTAAATAAGTTATAATTATTTAACTCACTCCAGTCTACCTGCCCAACAACAGCCCAATAGACCTAACAACATACCACAAGTTCCCCTTGATGCTAGGACATTCTCTAAATTTAACCTACTTAAACACTGAATCAATGAATTTCGAGGGATGAGGATGTGGATGTATACCAGCATGCACAATGATGCTGACCAGGGGCAATGTGGGACAGCAGGGGGCCAAATCAGTGTCAATCAAAATCCCTAAGCCCACGTGCCTATACTTTAGCAAGCCTAGGTAAGTTCTCTTTAAAATCTGCATGTTATTCTTATATTAAAAACAAAGCATGTTACTTTTACATAAAAACACATTAAAGATACAAGCATATTTCATGTTGAGATATAAAATTAGAAGAGATGAGAATTAGGAAGAAGTTTATCTCTGACCTTTCCTAGAGCAACTTCTGTCATTTACTGATGCTGCCATGTAATACTGTTTCCTTCCTAAACATCTCTGTAATCTCCATATCTGAGCTCATTCTCAGTCCTCTTTGTCTCAGAAGTATACAAATAGCATAAAAATTTCTCCCAATAGGCCAGCATCTGATTAGTACAATTTTTTAAACTGGCAAAGACACAGAAGTGATGCTTCTCCCTCAAACATCATTTTATTTGAGTATTTCTAATATAAAATAAGACCATAGGAAAGTTCATGTGTAATACTCTAGACTGAAAATATGGATATCTGAACTTTAAACTGTTTTTTATTTACTATATAATCTCAGGAAAATCTTCATTTTTATACATGGTGCCTTGTTGGGTAAAAAATATTTACTATATTGGGGTGCCTGGGTAGTTCAATCTGTTAAGTGTCTGCCTTCGACTCAGGTCATGATTCCAGAGTCCTGGGATCAAGCCCTGAGTTGGGCTCCTGCTCAGTGGGAAGTCTGCTTCTCCCTCTGCCCCTCCACCCACCTGTGTTTGCTCTCTAATAAATAAGTAAAAATCTTAAAATAAATAAATAAAATGTATGTATTATAACTTTCTCTCTGTATTCCCCCAGAGAAATCAGAGGACCAGGGCTATGACAATATACTTATCTGCGGAAAGTATAATAATATGATAACAAATAAAAATAAATTTTACCAAAGAACACCTTTTGGTTCCTTTATTCAACCTTTAAAAATTATGAAAGAAACTCAAATTCTAAGTCTTACTGTGCTATGGATACCTAGAATCCATCTTAACCAATGAATAGTTCCTAGGAATTCAAAGTCTCATACTTTCCTTGATCTATGTCCAGCTCATCACGAAATAAAGTTTAGGTTGCCAAAGGCTGTCCTTTTGAAGTAGAAAGCGTGGCAAGATTGACTTCCAGAAGCCCTAGGTAGAGATTCCCAGCCCCCGAGCCCCCTTCCTGGCCATGTGATCTTGAGTAATTCTCTACTGCCATTTTCTCATGTGAGAACTGGCGTGGTGACACCACTGCGTGTCCATCAGAGCTCAATGAACCCTGGTCCAGGTCAGGTCGTGTAGGCACTATGGCAAGAGTAGCTATTCCATACTCACATGTAGTCCCTTCTTTCCATAGGCTATCCCTCGGCCATAAATTGCACTAACCAGATCAGGCTCCTCCTAGTCAGACCAAAACAGAAACACGTCAAAAACTATAAACAAAACAAAACAAAACAAAAAATCAGTTTCTGCTTCAAGCACGTTAATGTCACAAGTGACAAACTCTACTTTATGCCACCACCACACATACGTCCACATTCCATCCCCAACCAGAAGAGTCTGTGTTCTCCAAGCTCATTTGAATGAGACCTCACATAAGAATTTTCCATTAAAAAAATAATAAAGAGAACCAACAGTAGGGAGCCCTGTGCTAGTTTGTCGCATACTCATCTCACTTAAAACACGATCCTCCCAACAACTCTATGATCAGCAGCATCTGCGATCATGTCTCACAAAGGACACATAGGCTCAGGGATAAACGGTTAGGAAGGAAGCACTGAGGAGTGCCTCTTCCTCGTGTGTCCCCCTCACAGTCATGAAATTTTCTGAAAAGGGAAGAACCTCTCAGTGCCAGCCCCATCGAGCAACAAGAAAGGAGTCTGCTCCACAGTCTGTTGGGGTTAATGCAGTCCTTCACACAATGTGTCAGAATGGGAACCAGGGGCTTTCTGCAAGCCACCCCAGGTGGACTAGATGAAACCGCCCTCAGGCCCAAGGACAGGGGTCTGCTGCCCCAACACTATGTCCCCAAACAGGTCAGTGATATGAAGCATCCCACCTCCTGAATCACCTCTCTTCTACATTTAGCCTCTGCAATTTCTGTTTCTTCTCTGAATCCTTCCCCTACACTTAATAAAGAAGAGTAAACAGCCTCTGGCTCTAACGTCTGGGGTGAAACTCAACATGGCTAAAGAATCTAACAGAACTGGGGCACCTGGGTGGCTCAGCAGTTGAGTGTCTCTGTCTTGGACTCAGGGCATGAGCCTGGGGTCCTGGGATCAAGTTCTGCATCAGGCTTCCTGCAGGAAGCCTGCTTCTCCCTCTGCCTATGTCTCTGCCTCTCTCTCTGTATCTCTCATGAATTAAAAAATAAAATCTTTTTTCAAAAAAAGAATGTAACAGAACAGTACCAGATGAGGCATTTTATAGACTAATCTACCATTCAGTTTCAAATCTGAGATAGGGAATCTCCCTGTTTTGCAGAAAAAGATACATCAACTTCAACGATGAGTAAATGAGAAAATAATAAAGGAGAAGATGCCATATATTGGAAAAATGAAAGACGAAACAGAATCCGGTACACCTGTATCAAGTGGCAAACTGAGGCATCATTGGCCTCAACCCCACCAGCAGAGCAGCTCATGGTGTACAAAAATTGGAAAAATTCAATTACAGGTCTCCAACTTCTCTTGAAAAATCAAACTATGTAACAAAGATAAGCCTAAATTTTTACATTCTTGCATGAAAAAAAAAAAACTAGAGCTAAGTACTGGCTACCTCTTTAAATGAAGGCTGTGTATTCATCAGTTTACTGGAAACCCACCCTACGTCACCTCTACATCACAGCAATGCACTTTGCTCATTTAAGTCATTTTCCTGGCTCCACACAGTTCTGTTTGGAGTTGTGATTTATGACTTATACATGGCTGACATGAAAGGCTCATGCTATTCGCTAAATGGAAAAAAAGTCAAGTTAATAGAACTACAGAGGAATGGCAGTTGCTTTTATAAATAATATTTATATATGATTGTGTGGGTCAATGGTGCACAGAAAAAAGCACTCCAAAACATTAACAGTAATTTGCTCTTGGGAGTGGGATTACTAGATATGTTCCTATTATGCTTACTATACTGCAATATTCCTTTTCATGGCTTAAAACAAACACACATGCATTCGCAATCAGCAAAAAGAGGTTTTAATATGCATTATAGAAAAGAGAAATTTTTATTATAAATTTAAAAATTATTCAAATAAATAGTTGGAATACTTGTTATAAATTATAGAAAATTTAGAAAATGAAGAAAAACACAAAAGATAAAATACAGCGCACCCTATCATTCTGCCACTCAGAGATAACACTTTTGACATTTAAATATCTTTCCTGGTTTGGAGGGAAAAAAAAGGGCAGAGCAAGTATTTTGGAGGGAGAGGGATATAGGTAGAGGGAGAGGAGGATAGGAAAAACAGCTACCCAAAGAAGAAATAAAGTTAAGGCTGAGTAGATGTGTTTCCATAGCAATACCACCTGCCAGGAGACAGAACAGGGCACAGGGCACAGAATAGCACCTGGTCCAGGCTGGGGCAGGGGGAAATGACTCCACGACTCTTCCCCTGTGAGAACATTCACCAGGGAGAGGAACACCTACTCTCAGATTTGTAACATCTCCCAATAGACTATTTAAGAAGTTCTCCTTCTAAAACTGGAAAAAATAAATTATGATAACCAAGGGGCAAATTGGGAAAAAGTGTATATAAATAAATAGTTCGTTTACCAAAGTGGCATCTCCATACACTCTGTGGCCAGGGCCAGCCACTTGGGGGTAGAGGGCAATCCTTATCTCCCCAGCAACACGCCTACTTAGGAAACCCTAGCAGTCTCATCTCCCTGGGTGACACCTCTCTCGCTCACTTACCCAACAGTAACCCACTTAACTACATTCTTGTTTCTCCCATCTAGTTTCCAGACTGGCACTAAGAGTTAGTTACCTAACAATGGAGTTTGATCATGTTACCTGGCTGAAATTATTCCTTGGCTCCCCAACACCTCCAACAGCCCCATTCAAACATATCTATTACTCTAAAACATGGTAAAATGCATTTCGTGTTGTAACCCAGTACACACACACATATGCACATAACACTCATGTACATACACATAGGAGTGTCAGAAATAAAAGTTACACTAAGTCAAACCTAGTCTTACTATTTACAATGAAACCTATTTTCCACTCTAGTGTATTTCCTTTTTGAAAGAAGTGCTAGCCTTCACTTGCCAATCAGCGTCAGGCAGTACAAAAGGTAACAACTCCCAACTGGAAAAACTATGAAATAACATCTAACTGCTTTTGTAGAAAAATACTGATCATTTCTCAGTCTCATCTCTTTGCACTTTCCACCCATAATTCACACTCTAGAAGTGAGCACTACTTCACAGTTCCTAGATACAAGATACTCTCTCAAGCTCAGAGCATTGCAAATGCTAGCCCATCTGCCTGGAACGGTCAACTACTGCCTCAGCTCAAACACTACCTTTCTTCTGGCTCCTTTCCAGACTCCCCTGGAAAATCAATAAGCCTCAGTTCCTACTATATGCTGCATGGACATTAGTCACTTAGTCAACAAATATTTACTTAGGGTCGGCTATTAGCCATGTCTGGTTACACATGCTAGGAATACTGTAGTAAGCAAAAACCAAGACAGAGACTCTGTCTTGGTTTTTGCTCCAAGACAAAACCAAGACTCTTCAAACAAACATACAAACAAACAAACAACACAAGACTCTTGCCTTCTTGGGGCGTAGCCAAAGAATCACAAATATAGTTACATCTTCAGTAAGTGCTAGAGTAGTAAATGGTGCTTTTGGAAAATGCATAAAGACTAGACATGGTTAGGAAGGCTTCCTTCCTAAGCATCTGGGTTGAAATGTGTGAGGGGGGTGAGGGAATCTCAGAGCAGCTGGTCTAGGCAGAGGAGGCTCCAAGGCAAGTAGGGAGCATAGCATCTGCTCCAAGGTGAGGCTGGCGGCAGGGACGTTAGTAAGGATTTTCATCTTCAACCTAAAAGCAACAGCAAAGCATGTGTGTTGTTTAAAATGTACATGCATGATGGTGTGCGCATGTGTGGAGGGTGTGAGGTGAGAAGCCAGGAAACCATGGATGCACCAGTCATCTGACAGATAGTAGTGGCTTGGCTGTGGTTTGAGCAGAGGCAGGAGAAGCAGATGGATGCCAGAGGTACTTGGGAGGTATCCAGATAGAGTTAGTGGTGAAATAAGTAGCATACACATGTGAGGAGTAGGTGAACTCATGCATTCCCTTGGAGAGGATGCCACCCTCTGATCTGGCAACAGTGGAACATGACTAGGGACCCCCAGTTATGAGGAGGGGTATGAGGAGGGGTATGTGGAGGGATCAGGGGAGAGCATGCAGTTGAGTTGAAACTTCTTAATGGATATAATTCCATTAAAGTAATTCTTTTATTATTTTGGATATTTTTTTGCATTTATTTATCTCTAATTGTTTTTGCATTATTTTGCATTTTGCACACTTATCACCCACAGGAACATAATATCAAAGGAGTATCTTGTCATGTGTGGCTCTGTGGCACCTAGCACTGTGCCTGACACCTAAGTCTTAACATGTAACAGTTATTAGTTAGCAACAAACACTGGCCATTTCCTAGGCAGCTAAGATCTTAATGCATATTAAAGACTAACAGATTTGGGGCACCTGGGTGGCTAAGTTGGTTAAGCACCTGACTTTGACTCAGGTCATGATCCCAGGGTCCTGGGATAGAGCCCTATGTTGGGCTCCCTGCTCAATGGGAAACCTGTTTCTCCCTCTCCCTCTGCCTGCTGCTCCCCCTGCTTGTGCTCTCTCTCAAATAAATAAATAAATCTGAAATAAATAAATAAATAAATAAATAAATAAATAAATAAATACTATCAGATCAAAGTCAGCTTGGCCTGGCCTGTTCTTATAGGGACAAAAGCAAACGACCTGGGTAGAAACAATGGGGTGATCATTGGTAAAGAGCCAGATCCACAGTTCCATAAGGCAAAGCTGTATGATAGATGTGCCACAGGAGTGGCTTTAGGTGGGGCCACCAGGTATCACAGTTGTAACATGTTTATAGCAATTAAAAATGTTAAGACTTTAAAAAAAACAGCCATTCAAAAGTTTGCAACAGTTAAAATCTGAACACTGACAACTTCCTGAATTCGGTCATCATTATTTTGGCTTTGAGGATTTAATGTGCAGCCCCCACTGGCAGAGAGCACTACAATGGTCCTACATGCAGTGCCTCCCTGGCTCTCTCTCTGGATCCCCCACATAATTTCATCATGACCACAGCAGTGACCTTCTGCTCTGCCAGTGACAGATAACAAATGGTATCAGTCAAGAAAAGTAATACAATCTATTATTTACAACAATGGTAACAACACATCCTTTTATGCTGCTGAAAAAAAATTCTAAAAAGAAAGAATAAATTGAATACAGAAAACTTAAGTATGTGAATCTGTAATGGATCCTTGTGGTTGTTACCTCAGTTATAATCTAGTAGGGTTCCTAAACTTAAATGACGGATTTTATTACTTCTCTTGATTGATACAGCTCTATTATTTTATTTTATCTATCACTGGCTTTGGATGTTAAACTCTAAAAGAAGTCAAAACTCTTTATGAAATGTCATGACAAATTATATTTTCAAATAAATGCCAATATCTATTTCAAAAAGCAAACTGGGCTCAGATTATCCATTTTTCAAAATATTTTTGAGTATATAAGTAATAATATTTACATTTTATCAAGTAATTTTAATCATTTAAATGATTTAAATGAAAGCCAGAATTTCAATCTTCCAATATTATTTACTTTATGCAAATGCAAAATCATGGTATCACAGGACAGTTACCTTACTGGAATCATGTACACCTAGATGTCTCAATTCCTAAGACACCAATCTGTTTAAATCCAAAAAGGTCTCATTTACCATCCTAGTTACGTACCACTTATATTGTAACTTTAAATTTTACAAATATCTCATTTTCCACCCCAAGGCTGGCATCTTTATTAAAACTCAAAAGTCCCTGGATTAAAGGCAAATGAGTCAAAAAAAAAATCACTGCACTGAAATGTAATAAGGATTCAGTTTTGTGCAAGTGGCAGACCCACAAACCTACTTATGCAAAGGATGTTTACAAATCGTATGCAGAGGCATGTTTCACATTTTGTCTGCTAATGTAAAATAAGAAACAAACATTTTTATGAATTCAGTTCTACCCAACTCAGATGAGCTCAAAGTCACACAATTTGTAACAAAGGCCTCCTTCGATTTTTGCAGCACTTATGTTACTGAGTCCTGCATGGAACCAAAGCAGCACAGAAGCCAGGGAATGGTTCCACTTCTCTAGAACACTGTCCTCGATGTGCTGACACATAAGCAAGGACACTGCTGTAGAGACAACACTAATGCACAAGCACAATGCACTCTTTTAAATCAAGAGTTTTCAGTGTGATCCAACAGATCTAGGAAGTTTTGAAACTGTGTTCATTTAGAAACCCTTATGCTTGAGGAGCATATTTTCCCTTTATAAATGTACCAAATATCCCATAGTTCAATAACTACTTAAACACCTCACAACTACACAGACCATGGAAATATCGTCTAAGTTTGCTTCTTGTGGTATAGCTGAGACAAAAGGCAGGCATAAAAGCTTGACATCGATTTCACGTTAAACAATCTTGGGGACTCTAATACAATCCAAGCCCTCATTGCCCCATTTGTTTTCAGCTTTCTATGAATGGAATCTGATTCCACACTCTGCTGCTGCATACTGGAGTTCCCAGGCTGTGCAAAAGAAAAGCTTTGTCAAGCATTTATGAAATCAAAAACCCTGAAAAGTCTGTGTGCCAACAGTGGCCATTGCAGGTTTGCTAGAGGATGATGGCTGGCCTACAGAGTTTCTGCATGTGTGGAGGGTCCTACAAGGACCAGGTGAACACTCAGCAGCAGGTATGAACAAACATGGTTCTGCAGCGATACTCAGGCCAGTTCTAATGCGAAGAGGGAAAGGTTTCAGTGGCAGGGTGGCATCCATACAGCAGGAGGGTGAGCAAACCACCCTCCTGAACCCAGGCCATGGAAAAATATGACTGGGATAAAAACCAATGTCATTACTGCAAGAAACGATTCCACTGCATTTGCCAATAAAAGAAAAGGAAGAGCATTTAAAGAAAGATCATGCTTTTAAAATACAATTTGAAGGGACACTGTGGCTCAGTGAACCATCTGCCTTGTGCTCAGGTCATAATCTCAGGGTCCTGTGATCAAGCCCCGCACTGGGCTCCCTGCTCTGTTGGGAGTCTGCTTCTCCCTCTGCCTCTGCTTCTGTGTGTGTGTCTCTCTCTCCCATGAATAAATGAATAAAATCTTTTTAAAAAATACAATTTCAAGAGACTGGCTTCTGCAAATTCGGATTCATGGTAAGAAAAGAAGTTTTGGTCAATTGGAGAAAGAGCAGCAACTCTTCTTTAGATACTTGCTACCACCTGCTTGTGCAGTTTCTTGATGCGACAGGCTATCAAGAATTTGAAGAAATCAACGAAAAGCTCTTAAGTAGGAATCATGTGCATCACTTTCAAACATTAAACCTAATGTGGAAAAGTTTCATCTAGAAAAATGGGACTGAATTTCTTATTACAATTTTAGAAAAGAATTTTAGCATCTTTTTTATCAGTATCTTCTGTATTTATCATAGTTACGGAAGATGAAGAAAATGTGACGAATTTTCACCAAGCTCAATCCAGATGCCTCTAAATTTGCTCCTGTTGACTCCAGTGTGTCATGCAAACAGGATTTTCCACCTGTGTCATGATGTGAAAAGGCTGGGAAGCACCAAAATAAAGGCAGAGAAGACAGGAATCACCAAGAAAAGCACCAGCAGGAAAGCCAAGGGCACTCTTGTTCCTATAAATAATTATGCAATAAATGGTCACCCAGTTCTGTCTTCTGTGGACCAGGAATATTTGAACTTCTGCTGCTCCCCATCTTGTTCCTGCCCCATAGGCAGCTTGAATCACCAGAAAAGGAGCCCTACCTTATAAACCACACATTCTCAAAGAAAAATTTCCCAGTTGAAAGCAACGCATTGTACTGCAGATTGATGAAAATGCTCTATCAAATTTCAACACTGAGACCTTTTCTGGGCACAAAGAGAAATTTTGACCTACTTTCTGAATGCAGTTGCAAGGGAAAGAAGTATTACAACAATAAATGGACAACAGAAGGAACGGTAGAGAGCCATTAAAAGCTTAAGATTACAGAGATACTGAAAGACATTTATAGTATAAAATTCAGTGATAAATACAAAATAGTACACATATTCAGATTATAAAACATAAAGGCATACTCTGAAAAGGGCATAAGCAAAAAACTTCAATAATGAGAGAGTGGCAGAATTAGGACATTTTTTATTATTTGAAGTTTTTTCCTTAACAGTTATAATTGCCTTCAACTACAACAGTAATAATATTTTTCAAAAAGTTGAATGAACTGATAATATATATATCTGCAAGCTCTCACTGTTTTCCACTATTAGTTACCATACATAAACTGACATTTCTCCTATAAATGTACCAAAACCTCCCACACCAGGGCCAAGTGTTAACTATGAATTGCTTGCTTACCTTTTTAAATACTACAAACAGGTGATGTTTAAAACTACTAATAATCTATCCTTTAAATGCCACTGCAGAATGTCATTCCATATGAGTACCCAAACCCACAACTGCTTGGATCCGAGGCATTTAACAACTAAAAATATCTCAGCGATTTTTTTGAGAATGAAGACAGAATTGTCAATATAATTAATTCTATGTTTAAAAAAGGAAAAAAAGTAGAGCAATTTCAAAATTAATATTTTAAAATTAAGTTTACCCGCTGGGTTGTAAATTATCTGTTTGTTCTATGAATATGACTATGTTAGAATGGTGCTTTGAGTAGCTAAGATCAACTGAGCTCTTACTACGTGCCAGGCACTGGGTACTAAGTATTTTGGAGAGTATTTCATTTAAGCCCAACAAGAATATTTTTGGAGGTTATGGTTATTATCTCCATAAGCCAGGAGGTAAAATAACTTGCTAGCAAGCAGCAGAGAAGGTTAGAACATGGGTATCCTTAACTCTAAAGAGCACATTTCTTCACTATACTTTACCGGACAGACACATTGACAATCAATAATGGTCAGCATCTACAAGAATGCAGTCAAAGATACGGGATATAAAGCCAATGATATTATCCTCACAATCTTAGATGTTTAAGCCTTGTATCTACACCATATTTTAATGCAGCCATCAATCAAAAAACTAGAGTCTCACAATTCAACTTTGAAGTGAGAAACAAATCCATGAGTGGAACCATGAAGATACTGCACAGAAAGTAAACATGTAAACATCCGAGAATTTCCAGCACCCACATCTTATAGAAGATAGCACAGTAGAAAGGAAAGTGAACTGAAGCTAGTTTTTTTTCTTTTAAACTGCATTTCAGTCCCATCTTTTCCAGCTAACAGTGGGGAGACTGTGAGCAAATTGCTTGACCTTCTTTGATCTCATTTTCCACATTTAAAATAAAATTAGTAATGCAAAGATGAAATGAGAGCATCGTTTCAAGGCCTCCACCAAGAGAGTGCTCATTCAGGGCTGACTTCCTTTACTTCCCCACATGATCCTAAAATCAATGTATTCTTGCAGCACTTTAGCTACACACAAGTCCATATTTTTGTCGTGACTACCAACTTCAAGTTACATAATTCAGAAGAAAAATTACCTGAAGCATTGTTGAAAAATGTCTTATTGCTTCATCATAGAGTCCACTGCCAATCAACACATAAGCAATAGCTATGAAACAAAATACAAAAATATTAAAGGAAAGAATGAAAGATCTCAGAGTAAATCAGTAACTAAATTCTTTGCTGATCCTAAAAGGCAGCTCGAGGACCAGAAGTAGTGAAAGAAAACCTGGAAGTTAATAAGATGTACTTGAATTCACCTACTATCAATCTTCTAGTGCTCTCTATATTTAAATTATTAAAGCCATCTATAAAACATTGCCTGCCAGAAGTAATTATCTTTTTCTAGGCCCATCACTCACTTTCTTTTTTTTTTTTTTTATAAATTAATTTTTATTGGTGTTCAATTTACCAACATACAGAATAACACCCAGTGCTCATCCCGTCAAGTGTCCCCCTCCGTGCCCGTCACCCATTCACCCCCACCCCCCGCCCTCCTCCCCTTCCACCACCCCTAGTTCATTTCCCAGAGTTAGAAGTCTTTATGTTCTGTGTCCCTTTCTGATATCTCCCACACATTTCTTCTCCCTTCCCTTATATTCCCCTTCACTATTATTCATATTCCCCAAATGAATGAGAACATACACAGTTTGTCCTTCTCCGATTGACTTACTTCACTCAGCATAATACCCTCCAGTTCCATCCACGTTGAAGCAAATGGTGGGTATTTGTCGTTTCTAATGGCTGAGTAATATTCCATTGTATACATAACCATCACTCACTTTCAAACACAAATAACCTTTATGATGTTTCAAATCGATACATCAAAAGAGCTAGTAATGAGCCTGAATAAAACCCACATAACATGGCAATGTGATTTTACTGTAAAAGTTATGAGAAATACACAAATGGCATCACAAACCTCAATTGCTGGGGGGTGCTGAACTTACTGCCAGTTACCAAGTAAGAACAAAAGCAGAGGCTCTAATTAACATATATTAATAAAATGCTTAATTCACACTAGTGCAATGCAACAGTGGTCTTTTCCCCACCTCTTCTATTCAAAATACAGTCAAAACACTACTCAAAAAACAAAACAAACAAAAAAACACTACTCAAAATATACACTAAAGATGAATACATAGTTTCTGATCAAATTGTGTTGGTAACTGGTATTTTGAAATTAGAGCCATGACAACCTCCTAATACCTGGCAATATTTGGACTAAGTTTTTTCACCTGTCCAAAATGCAGTAAGCTATTGATAATCTAAATTACATTTCATCTATAAAATTTGTCCTAACTCCCTAAATATCCATTACCCCTGAAAAAACTGTATTCCTCATTCAATGCAATACTATTTTTTTTTTTTTTGCAATACTATTTTGATCACATTTCTTTGCAAAAAAGTTTTATTGCAATGCTCTAATCCTAGGACCTAAAAGGTATTCAAGGAGACAGACAACTAAAACTTTTACTGTTGGGGGATCCCCGGGTGGCGCAGCGGTTTAGCGCCTGCCTTTGGACCAGGGCGTGATCCTGGAGACCTGGGATCGAATCCCACGTCGGGGTCCTGGTGCATGGAGCCTGCTTCTCCCTCTGCCTGTGTCTCTGCCTCTCTCTCTCTCTGTGACTATCATAAATAAATAAAAATTTAAAAAAAAAAAAACTTTTACTGCTGTGAAGAGCTTAAATTTCCTGACAGTTAAAAGTAGCAAAAACATTCAATGTGGAAAGAGACTTAGTTAGTATGGACTAACCTGAGAAAAGTAAACTTCAAAAGCACCAAATGTCATAATAAGACAACAGTTTTGGGAGCATTCTTTAAAATAAAGAGGGCTGCTTTTGTCATAATTTCTTTGAAAAGATAAATTAAGGTCAAACTCATATTCCAAATAATAAGAAAGGACACCATTTAGATGCATCAAATAACAAGATGAGCAAGAGACACCTTTGGGGTGGGGGTGGTTAGGAGTATTAGCAGTAAAACAATAGCAATAGGTATGTGCATGGGGGGCTCCATACATTTCCACATATTAACTCATTTACTCCTCAGTTGCAATGAAGCAGGTACAATTATTATCCCCATTCAAAGAAAAGGAGATGAAACATAGTGCAGTTAAAGAAACTGTCTGAAGACTATGTGCGGTCAGAGAAAGGACCCAGGTGCCTACTCTGGGGCCCACCCTAATACACTACCCTGAAATAAATCAAGGCTGTACCGAAACTGCTGTGTACTGGGCTGGCCTGCAAAAATGGTTTGAATTCCTGGATAATTACATGAACAGGGACAGAAACATAAACTTCTGTTTATGAATGTGGGATAATGGTGATATACGATTGAATGGTATATGTCTTCTTTGAATGTGGGATAATGGTGATATAACCAGAAAGCCAAGATCTGGCATTGGGTTCTGGCTCTGCCACCCACCAGTGGTATGATCATTGGGACCTCAGCCACCTCTCATTACTCTCTGGGTCTTGCTTAACAAGTCCTAGAATATCTTCTTACATTCTTTGCAGTTCTAAATTTTTAGAATTTCCTATTTCTCTCCCCCATAATCAGTAAATATCTGTTGAATGAACAAATGAATAAGTGATCCACAAAAAACAAACACAGTTTTAAGGGATAAATATTACTGTACTCAGGAACATGTTTAAATTGTTCTCCATAGCCAGGCTGTTGAACTCCACTTAAATAAAATCAAATGCAATTCTCAAATCTTTCTATCTAAAATTAAACACTTTTTTTGAGAAAAACCCAGAAGTATCCATGGAAAAAAAATCCAAATCTTGCAAAATTATAAATAACTACAAGGATCTAAATTTTGTTCTGGCAGCCTGAGGACATAAAAGAAAACACCAGAATTCTCAAAGAAATCATTACTCCAGCAATTCCACATCTCTCAGCAACGTGTGTGTTGACAGAAGCCACTCTTTCAAAAAAAAAAAAAAAAATACTGTGATATGAAAGATCCTAAGCCAGCTCAGGGCCTTGAGGTCTAGTAGGATTAGTCTTAGTGCACAGAACACGCCTGGCACATTCATTTACTTAATAAATGAATATGGGGCTGACCAGAGTCCAAGGACCTCAGAAAAGACCAAATCTGAAATCTTAACAGGTAATTAATTCTCAAGGCCTACTCAGAATAGCACCAAAAAGTGATTAATGGGGATGCCTGGGTTGAGTGGTTGAGTGTCTGCCTTTGGCTGAAGGCATGATCCTGGGGTCCTGGGATCAAGTACCACATTGAGCTCCCAGGGAGCCTATTTCTCCCTCTGCCTATGTCTCTGCCTCTCTGTGTCTCTCATGAATAAATAAATAAAATCTTTAAAAAAAAGTGATTAATACTTTCAAAATTGTCAGCTCTTAATTATCTGCACTAACAGAGCAAAGGAGCCAATATGAGAAGTGCTCAGTATTTTTTTTTTTTTAAAGTAAGCTCTAGGCCCAACATGGGACTTGAACTTAAGATCGCGAGATCAGGAGTCATGTGCTCTATCAACTGAGCCAGCAGGGTGCCTCAAGGTGCTCTGTTTTAATAGAAAATGCATATGGCCACAGAAAAGATAAAATAATTATATGGAAATTAGATAGAAAAAAAATTCCAAAGGTGCTTCAGGCCACCAGGCACTGGGCAGGAGCACCTGCTTCTGTGAAGTGTGTCTAGCTGCCATGTTCAGTCCTGCATTCAATTTTGTTTCCACTCTTTCAACTGTAAGCTGACCCGACAATGAGCAAGACACACTCAGAGCATGTCAGACACTGGCAGAACCAGCCTATTTGAAAACATGCCACCAACAAGCCAAATGGAAGACCCATCTGCAGATCTGAAAGAACTAAACCCTTCTACACCCCCGTGCTTAGACCCAACAATAACTGAGTGGCTTCACAGTAAAATTAGCTTAAGCCTAGCTATTTTATTACACAGAAGATTACAGGAGGCATGAGTCTCCTCTGCTTTCACTTTGTTATTCCTATTCAATGACAGCATCAGTAACCTTTTCATTATAATGAATGATAACCGCTCCTAAGGACTCATTATCCTAATTGTTAATTTCCAGAGAAACACAGAGGTCCTTACCCATCACTCCCTCCAGAGCCAGTATTTTCTCTATTTCATATTGTATTGACATAGAATGCATGGACCTGCATGAGGGTTGAATGCCCTACCCAAGATCACACCACTTATGTCGGCAGAGCCAGTGTCTGTGTTCTTTCTCCCTCACCACCCTGCCTGCCTACTCGGCATTGAATCATAAATCCTAGGCAAATACCCCAGAAGTACCCTCTTATTCCCGACCCAAATCTCACCTAGCTCTTCATTTGTGCTGTCATTATCAGTAGCAAATGGGAATCTCTTTTGTTCTGCAATAGACTTGGCCTGGCTCTGAAACAGAAACAGAGAAACACATTTTAGCTTATCACAAACAAAGACAAAGCCTACAACAAAGACCTGCATTTTAAAAAAATTAAAGCTCCATTTGATTTATGTGGAATATAAGATTCACTTTAATAAATACCAACTGTGTACTTCAAGCACATAGCTTGTGGTCTGATGTCTCCTCTCTTATCATTAGTGGTTCTTTTTTTTTTTTCTTTTTGATTGATTGATTTGAGAGAGTGAGCGAGAGAGAGAATGAGCGGGGGGGGGGGTGCGGAAGATGGACACAGCTAGGAGGGAGGGGCAGAGAAACTTATGCAGACTCTGTGTTGAATGCAGAGCCTGACTTGACCATGAGATCATGACCTGAACCGAAACCAAGAGTGGGGTGCTTAATCGGCTGAGCCACCCAGGTGCCCCACTGTTCTCTAAAAACTTTTTTTCGCTTCCATAGGGATTCATCCTGCTGGCTGCTTCATGCTCCCTCCATGTTTTCAGAAACTATTTAATGACCTTATTCATGTTGTGAAGACCACATTCTGACCATTAGTCTTCCAATGAGGATAGATGACAGAATGTTGCTTTTGAAACTAAAAATATTTTAGAAATAAGTGCTACAAGTTGTACAGAGATGACGTCACCAGAGGACCAACAAAATCTGACCAAGAAACAAGACATACTAGTAAAAAAAAAAAAAAAGTACAGCAGATGATGAAAATATCTCCCTCCCACTTAAGGCAGAAGATTTGCCTATGAAGAAATTATACAGACACATGCACATTTGGCAGGAAACCTAAAACAAAAGAGGAAACCAGGGGAAAGCAAAGTAAAAAGTTAGCTTAGTACCCAAGTGATTTTATAGGCAGTACTGGTCTACTCTATATAATGATGGCTCTGTAATGTTTTAGAGACAAATCATGTCTGATACTACAGCTGTCACTTCACCAGAAGATTTAACTGTCGATGCTAACTTGTGATACACTTAGTTATGGGATACATGTTAAAACGTTTACTTCATACTAGATTCACCTAAGACATGATTCAAACTTGTACACATACAGACACAGCCAAAAGCTAAGATAGTAGAGAGTAAAGATTTGTGGCTTTTGGCAAAACCACAGTATTAGAACCCCATGACATCCTAATTAACTGAGTTCCTCTTTTTAAAAAACGCATGGTACAGACGCCTATAGGCATATATTAGCAAATAATTTTACATGAGATGCTCCTCCAACTACTATAGGTGGTATTCAGCTAACTATTGGTGTTCATTAGCAATAATGAACTGCAGCCCCTCAGGCTTCACCAACTCAAATAACAAAAACAAGGCATTTCCACTTAGAGTCCCTATACTCTCAAAATCTAGACTGATGTTCAGATATAGCGTGGTATTTAGTTTGCCTATAAAACAGGTCAGGATGGGATCAGAGAGGGAGACAAACTGTAAGAGACTTAACTATATGAAACAAACTGAGGGTCGCTGGAGGGGAGTAGGGTGGGGGATGGGGTAACTGAGTGATGGGCATAGAGGAGGGCATGTGATGTGATGAGCACCGAGTGTTGTATGCAACCGATCAATCACTGAACTCTACCTCTGAAATAATATGCTTTATATTAATCAATTGAATTTAAATTACAAAATAAATAAAACAGGTCAAGAATAAGCTATCTCTAGAGTTAAAACACATGTAAAAACTATAGGCCAGGAGGGCATCCCATGTCAGGATGAATGCTCACTTCATTCCATTCAGGACTCCAGACAAAATGTAACATCTGAAAATTCTACTACTGTGGGAATGTTTAACACTTGGTTTCTTCCACTAACATCCTGATGACTAGAGAGAAACTCTATCAGTTCTTTCTCATTTTGCTCTATAGCTGGAGCGGCCACACAGCGATGGGAAGCCTTAGAGCGGCATCGTTGAGGGATATCTTTAAGCAGCAGCAGATTTAACAATATGTGAGAGCATCACAGTAGGTACACTTGGGTGTTACCAGACACAAGCGTTTCCTCTTTGTCAGACAATCACAGACAAGCAGGCAGATGCAAAAGATTTTTCTGTTTAATAAATTGCTTAAAGCCAAGAAAAGCAGTCAATGTATAATGCTTTTAGTACTTTAAAAAATATTATTTCATCCAGTATTCAATGAGAGTCTCTCATTTGCCAAGCCTTTGGGCAGAAAGATATCGTAAGAGAATAAAAATGAAACCCCATAAAAAGAAATCATTTACCGAACAGCATCAAGAGTATACTGAAGAGCATATCTGAGCTAAGTGTTTTTTTATTTTACTAGAAATAGGAAATATAGCATGGGCAGTAAAGTATAGTATGGACAAATTAATTTCTTGATTAAAAAGAGTCTTTCCCACTTCTAATACCACATCGATAGATGTCCTTTGTGGACAGCAATGAGCAGCTCCGACCCAGGAAGTTTTTGTACACAGCCCCACTTCACTGGTTGACTAACTCCACCCCAACCTTCATGTCCCTGATTACATTTCAATTCCTGACAGCTGTCCTAACGGATCCTCCTAACTTAAGGGAGATTATGTTGACCTTTCCCTATACTTTACATTTATCTGTGTAATTATCTGGTTAGTGACTAGGAGTCACGAGCACAGGGACTAAGGCTAGCTGGCTCACTGTGGTAGTCCTAGTATTGACTTAGCAAATGCCTGGCACATAATAGGTGCAAAATAAATATCTGGAGAATTAATGAAGAAATGAAGAGTCAAACTCCCATATTTTCAACCTAGGGAAAATGACAGGTCAAGATTGGTGAGCTTTCTCCCATAGGTTACTAGCTAGTGCCATCCTAAACTAGAAATGCAACACATAGAAAATATTTGAATTCCTAGCCATAAGAAGGTAGGTCCCTAATAATTCTAAGAATCTAATAATTGCGTATCCAAGGTGGGGGGGAATTGCCCAATTTCTACTTCAGTGTTTTTAGTGATGGTCAACTCACTACTTTACAAGATAGCCCATTCTGGTTTGAGACCAGTCTAATTCAAGTTTTTCCATATATCAAGTTGACTGCTATGCAGTGAATGAGGTAAAATCTGTTGATCATTCTTTAGCTTGCAATTTCTACTTTTTTTCAGTAGTTCTTATATGGAAAGGCAAAGCTTTCTCTGAAGAAGAAAGAGTATCCTAAGGGGAAATTTTAAATGAAAGAAGCAAACAATATCTACATGGATGTTGAAGGAAAAAAATCTGGAGAAACAATATGGTAATGCTGCAACACAGCTTCAGAGAATTAAGTGTGAACAAAAAACAGAGCCCTCCACCTTGAGGTAGCAAGGCTGGAGGATCATAGGTGCTGACATCTGACATGGGTAGGCAGAGTCGGATGTTACACAGCACCAAGTACTCATCCCCAGAGTAGAGAGGTCTCCTATACAGCTTAGCTGGTATCGATAACTAAAAACATAAAAGATATCCACATAGGCAAGGCTGGAAAAATAAGATCATATTCTACCTTCAAATACATTAGGTTTCCAGAAATAACGTTCAGCCATGATCTCCCTTTATTCATTAGAACTTAAAAGTAAAAAGGATGAGACCTAGAATGATCTACCATCCAATTCACAAGTCATAATAATTCAATGTGACTAAATACCAGATGACTTATCTTTATCTTTTTTTTTGACTTATCTTTATCTTATCCAAGTAGAACCAACTAGAACCAACTCCTAGTTGATAAATAGAAGTGACCTTCGCCTTTTGAAACCAGTATTATTGTGCTTTAGGTTGTATAGAAGATGCATACCAGAATCTTTTCAGTGTTGAGGGAAAGCAATGAGTCACAGGGTGGTGGTCCTTTGGGTTCGCAGTCTGAGTCATGGAAGTTCAAAAAGGAGGACTCTGAAAAGCAAACATTCCTGGTTATTCACCTCACCTTAAATTTATGCCTCTTAGGTGTCTAACTATGAATTATAATGTTAAGAATCCACAAAACCAAAATAAGGACAAAGCAAGAAACACTAAAAGGGTCATCCTACCCTTCTCTTCGAAGCTGTGTAACATTCTGTGGTTTCCAAATATCCTCATAACCAGTCATTAATGGAGTAGTTATTAAGATCCCTGTGTTAGACATCTCCTACCTGGCAGCATTTACTATGGATTTAAAAAAAAAGATCATAGAGGGGAGAACAAAGTCAACCAGGGAGATCTAATGTTAAAAGATAGGTCAGGGGTGACTGGCTGGTTCAGCTGGTAGAGTGCACAACTCTTGATCTTAGGGTTGTAGGTTCAAACACCACGTTGGGTATAGAGATTACTTAAAACTATAATCTTAAAAAAGAAGAAGAAGAAAGAAGAAAGAAGAAGAAGAAATAATACTAAGGGTCTAGTATCCAGAACATACAAATATCTCTTGATTTCAACAAAAAGACAACCCAATTAAAAAATGGGCAAAGAATTGGAATAGGCAATTCTCCAAAGATACAAAAAACAGCCACTGAGTACATGAAAAGATGCTTTCCACCACTGTTCATTAGGGACTGCAAATTAAACCATAATAAGACATCACATTGTGCCCGCAAGGATGGCTATATTTTTTCCAAAAATGGGAAACCACAAGTGTTGGCAAGGATGTAGAGAAATTAGAACGCTTGTGCATTGCTGATGAAGATGTAAAGTGGTGAGGCCACTACGGAAAGCAGTTTACTGGTTCATCAAAAAGTTAAACACAGAATTACCATACAGTCCCACTATTCCATTCCCGGGTATATACCCCAAAGAACTAAAAACAGGGACTCAAACAAGTATGCATCTTCACAGAAGCACTATTTAACCAAACAGTGGAAACAGTTCAAACGTCCATCAATAGATGATAGACAAACTGTGGTGTATACAAACAGTGGAATATTATTCAGCCTTAAAAAAAAGAAGGAAGGACCACAATCACCATGAATTAGTCAACACTTTCCTCCTGCAATAATAAATCTACATCTATATTTTAGCTAACTAAAAGAATTTCAAAATTGGGAGAATTCACTCTAAGCTACATCTGAAATGCTTGCCTATATTTGGAAATACTCAAATATTAAAGATAAACTTTAAAAAAGAATGAAATACTGATATCACAACGTGAAAGAACTCCCAAAATACAAATAATGTGTAAGAACCTCCAAAACGAAAGTGAAAGAAGCCAGACACAAAAGGTCACCCATTGTATAATTCCATGGATACAAAATAACCATAATACATAAATCCAAGGAAACAGAATACACGTTGGTGGCTGGAGGAGGAAGGAGGAGACACTGCCAAGTGGGTAAGGGAGCTGACTTTGGAGTGATGGAAATGTTTTGGGGTAGTTGTAAGACACTGTGACTGTACTCCATGCCACTGAACTGTTCACTGGAAAACAGATCATTTTACATTATGCGAATTTTGTCTCAATAAATTATTTTTATTTATTTTTTTAAGTAGGCTCCATGCCCAAAGCGGGGCTTGAACTCACAACCTTGAGACTGAGAGTCCCATGCGCTACCCACTGAGCCAGTCAAGCGCTCCTCAATAACTATTTTTAAAGGTATGATATAATTCAGCAGTCATTAAAGAGCATCAAATTACATTCAAGAGGCCATGAGAACTGAGATAAAGTCTCAACTGTGTCTGTCTTAACAACTGGAGACCAGACCTGATATACCAAAAAGGCCCCAGATGGGGGCAATTACTGAAGTTGGAAATGTTAAATTTCATAAGGCACAAGCGGGTTAAAAGGGTGGGTAGATTTGGACTGGGGTACAGAAAGGGTACGGGTATTCCAGGTGGGATGAGTCTGTATATAGAAGTACAAAGATAAAATGCAAAGGGGCAGTAAGCGGACAACCCTGGCTGGAAGGAGTTGGTGTTGAAAAATGGAAAATACAAGGTTGGGAAGTGAGTGTTCAGACTGGGGAGTCTGGGAACCAAGAGAAAGGCTTTAGTCTGACAAGAGTCAAGAACCAGTAATGGTTGTTGGTAGGTAGCTGGGTATATAATAATTTATAACCTATTTCTTTTTAAAGCCAGTATCTGACAACATATGCTAAGCACTGCAGTTAAGCGTTGTATACACGTGGCCTTCTTCTCTTCTAACGATCCCTCCATTTAGTGGGCTTAACCATTTAGTGGAATTCATTGCAGTTTCAATAAATATCCATCTGTATAATTTTAAGCAACTGCATAGCGTTCCCTTCCATGAAACTTAGCCATACCCTTGTCTTTGGGTAATTAAGGTGTCCTTTCTCTCTTAATATCTCTTGATACAGCATTTCAGAAGTATGCTTGACCTGTATTTTTGCAAATTCCCCCAATTTGGCAATTAAATTGAATCCTAACAAATATAATTGCTGAGGCAGAGGGTGTAAATGATGGTAAGACCTTTTGGGATGCCTGGGTGGCTCAGCGATTGAGCATCTACCTTTGGCTCAGGGTGTGATCCCGAGGTCCGGGATCAAGTGCAGCATCAGGCTCCTTGTGGGAAGCCTGCTTCTCCCTCTGCCTATGTCTCTGCCTCTCTCTCTGTCTCTCATGAATAAAATCTTAAAAAAAAAAAAAAAGACCTTTCATATATGCTGCCCCATTTCCCACCCAGTAGGTAATAGTTTCATTCCTACCTACCAGTGTAGAGGACAGTCTGTTTCCCTCTGCTCAGAGTATTCTGTTTTTATCTCTTCCTAATCTGAAAATAGCATTCACAAGACCAAACTTTTGGCTTATTGGCCATTTATATCTCTTCTTTTGTAAATTATGTGTTTCCTTTGCTAATTTTTACGTGATTTGATCTCTTCTGGCCTAAGATAAAGAGAAGAATGCCTATTTTCCAGTTATCTCAGGACCACTTATTGACTTATCAATTTGAACACCACCTTCACATTATAGTCACCAGGGTCTGTTTCCAGACTTTTTTTGGAAAGGAATCTTTGAGATTATTCATATCAAACTACAATAGCTCTGACAGATGACTGTCCAATCTATGTGGACACTGATATTTTAAAAATTACAATAGTAATGCATATTCAGTCCAGAAAACATAGAAAAATCACAAAACATAAATAAAAGTTGTTTTTTTTTTTAAGATTTCATTTATTTATGTGAGAGAGAGTAAGCGAGAGAGAGAGAGAGCATAAGCAGGGGGAAGGGGCAGTGGGAGAGGAAGAAGCAAACTCCCCGCCAAGCAAGGAGCCCAACCTGGGGCTCGATCCCAGGACCTGAGATCATGACCTGAGCCAAAGGTAGATGCTTAACCAACTGAGCCACTCAGGTGCCCCAATAAAAGTCACTCTGAATACTTCCACACATTGAGAATCACTGTGAAAGTTTTGGTGTAATTAATGTAATTAAGGGTGACAATTCTGAAATCAGATGGCTTAGGTTTGAATTCCTGTCATCTACCAGTATTCAGCTCTTTGACCAACTGACCCAGCCTCACCAATCTTTGATTTCTTCATTTGTAAAACAGGGTCAATGAAAGTATTCCACTTAAGAGTGGTTGATAACACAAGAAGATCTAACTAAACAAGGAGATAAAAGTAAAGTATTTGGTACAGTTTCTAGCAGGGAGAAGCAGCTAAAAGATGTTTGCTACCATTGTTATCATTAGGTTGTGAGAATGGAAGGTGATACACTACTTTGTAACTTGCCCTTTTAATGTAACAATATAAGCACTTCCCCCCACGACTAATTTCCTTCTGCATTGTTTAAACTTAGTGAGACTGATATTTTAATATCTTTAAATTTTTAATTCTCTACAATAAACCTGTATTTGTTGTTGTTTCTAGACTAATCCCTTATAATGATCTGCTTAATCTGACTTGAATAGTATCATACTGTTTCAATATTATACCCCTTTAATAAATGCATACATTTTGGGACACCTGGGTGGCTCAGTGGTTTGGTGTCTGCCTTCCGCTTGGGTGTGATTCTGGAGTTCTGGGATTGAGTCCCACATCGGGTTCCCTGCATGAAGCCTCCTTCTCCCTCTGCCTCTGTCTCTCTCTGTGTCTCTCATAAGTAAAATCTTAAAAAAATAATAATAAATGCATACATTTTAATGTAAAGCAAAGTCTTATTTTTTTTTTCAAAAGTTTCTTGGCTTTGGATCAACATTCTTCTTTCATATAAGCTTCCGTCATTTTGTTAAGGTTCCAAAACAGAAAAGTCTATGACTTTTTCTTTTTAAGTAGGCTCCACACCCAGTGTGGAGCCCAACGTGGGGCTTGAACTCACAACTCTGAGATCAAGACCTGAACTGAGATCAAGAGTCGGATGCTTAACTTACTGAGCCATCTAGGTAACCCCCAATGATTTTTATTAGAACTGTTAAAACTGTAGATTAGTGAGTGGAGGAGTATTTGCCTTCTTTACAAAATTTAATCTTATTCATGCCTTTTATTAACCTATGTGAAATTTTACAATTTTTCTATAGAATTTACACATTCAAATTTGTTGTGATTAAAAAGAAAATTGCTGGATAATCATAGTTTCAGCACATATTTGTTGAGCATCTACTATGTTCCATTCACTGCTCAGTGGTCTTCAACACTAGAAATGACCCCAGTCCTTCTATATAAAGATTATAGTTTAATGAGGGAAACCAACAAGAATCAAAATCACACAGAAATGTCATCATAGCAACTTAGAGAACTTACAAACTACAGCATGGTCAAGGGAAGCAGTAGAGACAGTTTCCTAAGGACTTGAATAGTAGCATCAGCTCATCCCAACAGAGTTAACAGGGTACAGGCACACTTCTAATCCCCATTTTAAAGACAAGGAACCTGAGGCAAAAAGGCTGAGTAATTTGTCCATGGCACCCTCTAGCAGAGCAGTGGAGGTGGGATTGAGCCCAGGCAGTCTGGTTCTAGATCTGACCC